ATAGCTTTACATCTAAATTCATTTTTTTTATTGAAAGCATCACTTTTCTGAACAAATTCCCAACGTAATAAAATATTTGAGGAATCTAAGACATAAAATGTAATGTCATCACATGCACATCAAAACTTCATTGATGCTGGCACGCTGGCTGGCTCCCCTTCTGCCTGCTTGCTCGTCACTTTTATTCCTGCATCAGAGTGGGATGTAGGTCTCTGAAAGGATCTTAGCACACAGCTTCTCCTTGCGCTCCAGTTTTTTTTTTTGCTCAGGAAATGATGGAACCCAGTCTGCTGAAAGCAGTTTGGACAGAGAGGACTTTTTTTAGTAAAGGAGAACATTTACTGGATGTTTTGGGGGTGTTTTCTTTTTCATGTTTGCAGGTAAGAAGGTTTTTGACTATGTATTTTATTTTCAAAATAAAATCACTATCTTTTCCTTTAATATTGTTTACAAAAGGGAAGCTTTCTCTGTATTATTTTTGAAGCAGTGTTGTTTCTTAATTATCTTGGGTTTCAGACTGGCTAACTTCTTTTCTAAGATGTCGAACTCTTTAAATATGTTAATATAATATCCAACTTTACTAATATCAACAGTGGAATAGTCAGTACTAATGTAAAAGTGTTCTCTGTGTCACTACATGACAGGTAAACTAGTCTGTTCCACGTACTAACAATAGCATTACCTGCATTTTGTGTTCTATTAATTCAGTTGCAGACACCTCAAGTAAATGATTACAGACATCACATACAGTTTACTGCTCAGTGGTTTGTTGTTTAGAAATAGAGCTTCTGTGCCCTCTGCTGGCCATATAATACAGTATGTAAAAGCATCAAGAATGTTACTAATAAGAGCTATGGGAATGTGGGATGCATAGGATTGCTTTCATGGCCTGATAAAGAATATAAGAGATGCTGGTGGCAATTCAGAGGTTTGCAACCATGTAGTTCTGCCCTACACCTTGGTATTAGTAATTTTTATCTTTGTTTCTCTTTCTTTTTAGTGGAATGGGAATCACTCGCTTCCTGTGCCTGCTGCTCTGTGCAGCTGCCCTGCCAGCTTCTAGTGCTTTTGCTAAAGATGAGAGCACCGAGGCACACAGGTGGACCAGGCAGAGCCTCCCAGTGGTGCAAGACACACACACAGAGCCCTTAAACAAGCCTTTGTTCAGAAAGCAGGAAGAGAATGAGGAGAGAGAAGGAACAAAGACACTCTGTGGGATAGAGTGTCAAAACGGCCTACCACCTATGGACCAGACTGAGCAAGAGAGGATTCTGGGATATGAGACGGTGTATGAGAATGGCACTCGCACGCATACAGACATCAGTTTGCAGGGTTTTAATAGTACGTCTGCAGGAACACCAGCCCACTCACCAGCTCGTACCCGCAGGAAACGGCAGGTGTATGGAGCAGATGGGCGCTTTGTGATCTCTGACTCGCATTTCATCACCAACTACCCCTTCTCCGCTGCTGTTCGTCTCTCCACGGGCTGCTCTGGAGTACTAATATCCCAGAAACATGTGCTAACAGCAGCACACTGCATCCATGATGGGACAGACTACTTAGAGAGTCTGAGACAACTTAGAGTAGGGCTGTTACACCTCAAGACCAAAAGAGGAAGAGGGGGTAGGAGGAGAGGGGCGGCGGAGGGGTGGGAGGCAAGGAGAGGGGGAGGGAGGAGAGATAATGAAGGAAGGTGAGGAGCTAAATGGTATAGATGGAGATGTGGTGAGAGGGAGAAAGGGTGGCAAAGGCAGGAGGCGCAGGTTAAGGAAAGTGGGTGAGGAGGGTGCAGCTGATCATGGTGGTGAATTAAAGAGAGGAGGAAGGAAAGGGAAAAGTCTCAACCGTATACGACGTAGTGTTGAACCCAGGAAGCAGCCTGTCTTCCGTTGGTCACGAGTTAAACAAACCCGAATCCCTCAAGGATGGATCCAAACAAAGAGCTCCACCAATTCAATCTCTGCAGACTATGATTACACTCTTCTGGAGCTGAGACGACCCGTCAAACAAAAGTTCATGGAGCTTGGAGTGGCACCCTCTGCCACCCCCCTGGCAAGGATCCACTTCTCAGGCTTTGACGCTGACAAAAGCCTGCTGGACGGGCATGGAGATGAGAAGGTGGTTTACCGTTTTTGTTCAGTGGCAAACGAGTCCGACGATTTGATGTACCAACACTGTGATGCCGAGCCGGGCGCGACAGGTGCAGGTGTTTACGTTCGTCTGAGGCAGGAAATGGGAGACGAAGGCAGGAAAGGGAAGTGGCAGAGGAGGGTAATTGGAGTGTTTTCAGGCCATCAGTGGGTGGAGGTGGAGGGAGGTGAGCATAAGGACTTTAATGTTGCAGTAAGGATTACTCCTCCCAAATATGCCCAGATCTGTCACTGGATCCATGGAGATCCACGTCTCTGTAAAGAGGTTTGACTGCAAAGTGATGGCTCTAAAGAAAAACATCCGCTGGCACTTGCAAAGATATGTATAAAACTTTCTGACTATGTATTTTCTTTTCAAAATAAAATCACTATCTTTCCTCTTTAATATTGTTTACAAAGTGAAGCTTTCTCTGTATCATTACTTGTGAATCCTGAAGACTTAAGTGTTGTCAGTTAAGGACTACATTCATGTCCACCCAAAATGCCCTTCTTCAAGCACTCAAACAGCCAATAGCAAGTCTCCAAAGGTTTTGTGTCATGGCTGCATCACAGCTTCTTGCACACCTTGTCATGATTAAGCTTGCCCATTATTAATTGTGTGCAACATCAAAAATTATCAATATATTGCAGCATGAGGAAAGACATTTCCCCTACAGCTATAATGACAATGTTCACAGATGCTGAGATATTTCTAAAATGAGTTGAAGAAGGATATTGCAACCATTTGATACAAGTGATAGTGACCTGTGGAGGTCTTATAAAATGTCTGTTTGTGAATTTTGGAGATGAACCTAAAAATAAAACATTTGCTTAAAAAAGCCTTCACCAATTTAACATTGCCTTCCATTATCTGATTCACAGCAAATCAAAATCGATAAAGCAGAAATCTTTGTTTTTTATTTCACGCTTTCTTCTTTCTTGTCAAAATCCTGTTATAAATGAGGGTAAACATGTGAATGTTTGATTGTATTATGCTGAAACCATCATGTCAGGCACTTTTTCATGTTTTGTAAGAGCGTTCAGGACAGATGTACCTTTTATTAAGTATGGAAAGTGTGTGGCCTCTGCTAGTCACTCTGAGATGAAGTCTTAATGTTAATGTAATGTTCATGCATGGCACTTATTTTTAACTGCAAGAATAATAGTAAATTACTGTATGTCATTTCTGAAATTATGACACTATGAAATTCTTTCTCTGAGTAATGCTGATCTGAGGCCAGCTCAACTCTTCAGTGTGAGGCCATATCAGCAAACCTATAATCCAAGAATGCTGCACATGTGGTTCTGCATCTGTGGCCTATTCTGTCATTTATCAGCTCATTTAGAGGCCGTAGGAAATCACATACAGTAAATTCTTCGGTGCTAATAATATGACAAAGTATTTGGATTTGACGTTCTTCAATTTGTCTTTTTATTTTAATTATCTAAACAACATAAATGTTTGTCTATTTCTTAACACCTAATTTATACTACTTTGAAACTGTGTTATGGTATGAAAAACAAAACCCTCTTTTTTCTCCTATGTTGCACAATGTAAACATTTTGCTTTGTTTACTTTTGTTTAGAGGTAACATAAGTAAAACTGTGGATAGCCTGTTGGTCCTCATTTCACTTCTTGTTAAAGGAAATACTTGGCCTACACAACATATGTATGTATTTTCTGATGTTAAAAGCGAGTAACAATATAATAAATATGTATTTTTTTCTTTTATTGAACTTAAGGAATTTTCATGCCAGAAACACAGTTTTTTAAACAGATATAATTCGTTCTGATAACAAATACAAATCTTGAATTTTTAAACAAGCTGACAAAAGCAGAACAGTGATAAGTGATGAGCCGTGAGGGTGGTTTGGATCAGTGTATTTGTCTTTTATTGCATCTCATTTGGACTCACATGCAGGTGGGGGGCGAGGGAGGGAGGACGATGCCATCCATAATAACCTCCAAAAAACAACAACATAGCCTTCATATGAATACTTAGCAAACATTATTTATCCACATTCTTTTTGTTTTTATGTGTCGTAGTCACCTTTATTTTTCTCTCAACACTTTTGTAAATGCCACAATGGATTAAGATACAGTCACATTTGGAAATAAACAAAACACAGAACATCCAGCGTATACTCGAGTGCTTTACAGTGAGAGTCCTCAAGACTTCCAGTGACAGCACATGACCAAATGTATTTCTGTCACAAATGACCCAAGGCCACATTCCAATCACATACACAAATGCTTCCTTGTCTCTTTTCACCCTAACATTAAGTCATCTTGTGTGGAGACTGAGACAAGGAGAGGAGCTCTCTGAGAGTTTTAGAATGCATCCCAGATCGACCTGTGTTGCACGCTACGATGCAGTATCACTCCACATCAGCAGAGGGCGCAACAGTAAAAACTCAGGGCACAGTTTTCAATCAATACTGCCTCTGATTAAAGATTGAGAGATATGTACAAAGAAATAATTTTTTTAGTCTACTTGCCTTTCTTTTCCAACAATATCATTAGAAGTAAATAAAAATATATGATCATTTTTTTTCTCTCAAAATAAAGATTAAAGAAAATATGTATAATCTATCATTTAAAATAGTCTAGTATGCATATGTCAATTTGAACAGTTCACAAATTTTTGCATGTTTCATACAATCCCTAAAAAAAAGAAAGGAAAAAGGAAAACTGAACACAGCATGATGTGTTCGATGATAGATCCAGATTTGCAGTAAAAGTTGTTTTCAGGTACAATTTTGATCAAGAATTGTTCTCCAAAAACTTAGACAAAAAGTAGACAGGTGGGAGGATGGATGGCCAAGCAGATATAGGTACAACCAAGTTTTTAATGACATAAACATAGCTCAGTATTTGTTTGGACAACTGGGGTAGAGGAGTAGGAGTGGGGGTGCAGTGAAGTTACATACACCGAACACAGTCCACATTTAACAACACAGTCCTCGTCTGGGAGATGCGCAAAGAAACCAACATATATCCACCATTTCAAGTCAGCTGATCCAGAATGAATCTAAATACACATTTAGTAATTTTTTTTGTTCATTTTTCCATAGTATATTAAGTAAAGGTTAACACTGAATTACACGCACACCCAAACACACATACACTGAATTTTGTTTTTCTGTATCTAGGGTTCACATTCACAGTTGTGCTACAACATTAGATAAGGAGGGCAGGTTTTATTAGGGGTCGCAGCTGGTAGGAGGTCAGAGGGCAAAGATCAAAGATGTAATGGCTGGTTGGATGCAAGGGATGGGGCATGACTGAAGGGAAGGCAGTGGGGAAGTGCAGACATCCACATCCACAGAGCTCCAGACACAATGACAAAACCTACAAAGGAGAGAGAGAAAATTAAATGTGGAAACAACCATTCTCCATAGAAATAAGTGAAGTCTAAGTATGCTCTAATAACTCAGAAAGAGAAGGAGACTTAAAAAACTATGCTCAGACTGGCAGCCTAAATCAGATTCTGAAAATCGACTTGGAGTTAAATTCATAAAAACCTTTGTTCAAATCACATTTCTGATAATGTCTGCTTTTAAATGTATTTATTTAACATAAATAACACTGGTGGTTCCCAACCGTTTTGGTTTGTGATCTGTTAAAGGGGCGTATTTCCCATAATGTCACCAATAGTATTTTTTCATTGGACCTTCCTGTCCTGGTAAATGATCATGTCTTGTCTTCTCATGTCTCCAAGGTCAAGCTGGGATGAGCCTGATGACAGCCCTATGATATCATCAGAGGTTATCCTTGTGAGCAGTTCAACTAAAAGTAGTTTACTTAAAGGTGACTGTGTCCAGTATGTAAGAAACATATGAGAAACATCACTCCCTTTAATCATCTTGTGACACATCAGATCTTTCTTGGGACCCCAAGGTCGGGAACCAGTGTATTATCAGGGGGCATTAATCCCGTTTGAGACAGCAGAATTAGACATGGCTTACGCGTTGCTAATGTTGTCTGGTGCAGCAGAGGATTCTGCTCCTATGACATGACAAGGTGAAAATAATAAATCTCAGTTCTTAAAGTTAGTTTGCAGCTTTCAATTTTCGATGACCATATACCTTGGGGGTTTACAGGTCAGCCAGTCTACATGAAGTCCTTGATGTTGAGGTCATCCAGAGCATTCCTTGGTGGTGGAGGCTTTCTTGGGCTCTGGGCCACTCCAGGAGACATCTGCAGACACATCTACCTTTAGCACTTAGCACAACTTTAGCACAACTCCTTTGTCAGTGCAGCTGTAACCTTTATGTATGTAACTGTCACCAGTGTCTATAATCCATTTAAGAGTGTGTTACCGGTGCTCCGGGGGTTGCTCCACTGGCTGGGAAGCCTGGTCTGGCCATGGGCATCATGGGAGTCCAGGCTTACACAGAGACAGATGGAAGGAAAAAGAGACAGTAAGACACAATGTCGGCTATCTGATGGGTGCGAGGGACACCTGAAGGGGTAATTGTCCATCAATGTCCAGTAATGTCCAGACTGGTTCGGGGACATTACTAGACCATACTGGACTGGTGGTCTTACCATGCTGAAGCTGGGGTAAGTCCCCATAAAAGTAGGGACACCCATGGGTACGGTCTAAAGGTATGGAGGGGAGGGAGAGGAGGAATTGGGATGTTACTACACTACATATAAGACAGACACACACGCTGCAAAACAATACACAAACACAATTAAAACAAAACAAAACATGATGTGTAAAAGATTTCTAGCAACACACAAAAGTGAAGACAATAAAAGCTGGCACACAACAAATGAAGAAGCAAACAACAAAAGCCCTAACTTAACCAAGTAGTGCCCTTGGTTTACACATGCGCAAGGAGTTAGCATAGAGGGGAAGCTTTTTGCAGGTAGCGTTCAGATGAGAGTGTCATTTCCGTTGTTGCCAAAAAGACAACCTAAATATCTGTAGGAAGCAAATGTGTCAATGAAGGGGTGAGTTCAGCTCTGAGGGGGAGAACTGGGTGGCTTGCCTGGACTATATAAGGCTTAAAAGAAAATACTCAAGAGAAGAAGAAGCTGTTTCCAAGCAACAGCTTCTTAGTTTGGCACTATCGTTTGCCACTTCATCACTCTCCAGTAGATATTCCAGAAATATGAAAAAGACTTTGAACCAGACTGCATGTTGAAACCTGCATAAATTTCTGCCCTTGGTCTGGAACATTGTCTAAAGATTTACTACCAGTGCATGTGAGGTTCTATGAATCCACCAGTAATTTATAGTTAGCTATAAGTCTTGTTCCCTTTCTTCACTGTCACGCAGCTCTCAGTTTCCTAGACCTATGATTGGATCTGGAACCTGGAGAGCCAGATGAAGGCAATGCTTGTGATTGCTGCTATGCCCTGTCTGTCGCTGCCATGCGGCTCCACTCCATGCTATAAGACACAGACAACATTTACCATGGGAGCACCCCAACTGGGGGGAGCTACCTGAGGGGCCGCTGCGGTTCCCATTGTGAGATCTGAGACAAAGACAGAGAGAGAAAGAGAGGTACTGCAAAAAACATTTTTTCCATTCACTGACACCACCTAGAATAACTCAAGGTGTGAGTTACAAAAGAAATACCCTTAATAGCTTTTTTGATGAGGAGATGTTAAAGCGTGGAGCCAGAAGGTAATTAGCTTAGCTTAGGATAAAGACTGGAAACATGAGGACACAGCTAGTTTTGGCCTCCCCGAACATCAAAAATGCCTAGCAACACCCCCAAAGGGCACAAATTAATCCCATCCCATCCCAATCCCATTTTTAAAAATATGTAAACAAACAGAAATGAAAAAACTCCAGTATGTAGTTAACTTTGGACAGACCAAAGCTAGCTGGTTACCACCTTGCTTCCAGTCTCAGTATGCTAAGATAAGCTCCTCCTGTCTCTAGCCCCATACTTTAAGGAATAGTTTGGGAAATGAGCTTTTCTAACCACATTTATACTACTTTAATATCTGTCTGTTAAATATAAGGCTATAGCCAGCAATCGCTCAGCCAAAAATGACTGTTTTTTTAAGGAAGCTTGATAAGGCCAAAATCCCAGTGAGCTTTTACAATATAACAATCTAACTCTCGCAAAGAAAGCAAAAAACTATTTCTCCAAATATTGAACTATTCCTTTAAATCCTTATTTATGACATTGCTAGTTAATCTAAAGGACTACTTACTACTTGCCATTTTAGCCATGGAGGTGTCAACATCACCCGTCTGAGGGGTGACAGTGGGCTTCATTACATCTCCTAGTCCATCAAATACTACAGAAAGGAGGGAAGGCGGGAGGAACAAGTAAGGGGAGGATGATAGAGAGAGGGAGGTTTTAGCTTCCTTCAATGCAAGCGATTCTCACACTCAACAACCAATAGATGTCTCCATGGCAACAGAGAGGAGAAATGAGCACTGGGATGTGAGCGAGAGAGCAGGTTAATATAATATAAGTATAATTAAATAATAAATTAAATAATCTCGATGGCAAATCGAGACCCAATTTCAGTGTATTAAGATCATGATAAATGGCTGACTGTGTGTAAAATAACAGTAGTGTCTAGTACAGTCATACTGTATCTGCTACAGGAGACATCTCTTGGGTCAGCTTACTACAGTTACTACCATGGTCGTTTGCAATATAGGTATAGGAAATATGAACTTGTCCAACTTTTAACTTAAAAATATGTACATGGGATAAATATAAATCAGAATCTGTGACCATATATGTGACAAATTGTGCTTAAATCTTACCATCATAAAAGCATGCACAGTGTCAAAGTGAAATACATTTTCAGTGCTTGTTGGTAAATTTTAATTATTTTGAGATTTTTACTCTGTGTGTGTGATGCAGAAATTATGATGAGGCCAAAAGCACAGCGGCTGGAATGAAGCTGGGTTTATTGCTAAAGAAGCACTAAATGATACTGCTACTTCACATACTCTTTGTAACCATCAAGCATCTGGTGGTGGACGGGACAGTGCAGCTGAGCTTGCCTTTGCACCACTGCAATGCAGCAGTGCACTGTGGGAAATTAGCGTGTTAAAGAGCACGGAAACTCACCCAATCAAATGGCAGGAAGCAAGCAATGAGCCAGCCCAAGAGCCAGATGGAGAGAGAGAGAGAGAGAGAGAGAGAGAGAGAGAGAGAGAGAGAGAGAGTAAAAAAGCACAGATGCCAAAGAGAGAAAAATGCAATGAGGTTTAAAGGAGCGGGTGACAATGAAACCATTAGAGTTTATTGCGTGAATGATAGAAAGAGAGGGGAAAGAAAGAGTTAAGCCATAAAGCAGTAGTATTGCAGACCATCAGTTATACAACATGAAGACCAATGGCACAGGACAGGAGATGACAAGGAGACAGGTGAGCAGGGCCCATGTTGCTGCTGTTACCAGTTATACAGTCATGAAAGATTACAGGAATTCCCCGAACACAAATACAGTGGAAACGTCTTACAGTGATCATGTCTGTCAAATTGATTGCTATAAGCAAATTAATCAATGCTGAACTGGTAGCTGAAAACAAAAAAAAAACTGTAAGTGGATTACTTCATTACTAAGCAAATTATTTAAATAGCATTTGTAAAGGAATAATTCTTTCCTATGCTTTTTGTTGCATATAAGAGGTTTCCACTGTAACCAGAGGACTATGCAAATTAGGTGATGCAAAGATGATGTTAACATGACCATATATAGAAATAGTTTGAGTCAAAGGACTCAACAGTGACTTTACTTTAATGCTGAACCAGTGACAAGCAGATAAAAAATTCACACCCTCATTTAGGCATTTAGTGTGATAATGAGCAAATAAATAAAACCAAAATGTAGATTAGCTAACAGCAAACTACTTCATGAACCATTACCAAAGCTAATAGAAATAGTGACTGATAATCCATTTCCACAAAAACAACCGATCTTTTTTAGGCAAACACTACTGTAGAAGATGTAGAAGTGTCTCTAAAGTACAGAATATTATAAGAAAGACATCATGCAGTTACTAATGAATTCACAATAGCTACAGTCATGGATGGATTATGAGGCAACGAGCCCTTGAGCACAGATAGGTAAAAGCACCCCCACCCCCCTACATAAGAGCAAGACCCAGACCCAGACTGAAAGAGAAACAAAAAGACAACAAACAATGCTGCATCTCTTTCAACAACATTGTGCAGGTGAACTACAGCTCTCAGGTGCAGCTGAACTTTAGCATACAGATCACACTGAAGAAGAAGAAGAAGCACACCATCAAACCATAAAAGAAAGCCTGGGATGCAGGTCATATTTTCTTAAAGCAGAGATATTCTGCTGTCAAACTGATTTACATAGGTTTAATAATGTCACTGTATTTTAACGTTAACGTTGTCTCAATATGCTGTGCAGCTCTACTATGAAGTAGACCCATTATGTAATCCATCCATGGCTACAGCACACTGTGTTTTACGGAAATGGAAATATTTCTGTGAAATGTCTGCAACATGTTGGTATTCCCTCCACAGTACACACTATGCATGCAGAGTGACATTTCACATTTTAGGAGTTTTACCTGACATAAGCTCAGCACCGGGGGCAGCAGGAGCAGCAGCAGCTGTGGCATCTCCTCCTGTGGACTCTGGCAGGTCAACCCAAAATATGGCAAACCATACCATGCCAGGTCAAAGCAGGTTGAGCCATTTCCATTGCAGCATAAGGGCAAAGAAGGGGTAATAGTCAGCCTTCGGCTTCACGCTGGTAAGGTCAAACAAAGTGCTTAGTGTTAGATAGGAAGACTGAAAGTATAAGTGCACAATTTAATGTATCTTTAAAATAACCAGAAAACATTGCTATTAGAAATTAAGCAACACGCTCACATACACATCTTATCAGAATGTCACAGTGGAGCGTCCACATGCATTTTTTAAATACATCATCTGTGTTCATAGTCATTTTTTCCCCACTGGACACAAACCAGCAAGCTTATTTGTACTAACAATGCTGTAAAGACACCAAGGCCAGCTAAAAGAAAGACCCCACAAAATTCCAGGTCTGAAGTTGTAGCTTGCAGTTCTTAAATAATTTTAATATTTCAGCATGACCAAGCTTCATCTCAGACATCAGCTTGTAATATTTCCATGATCGACCCCCACAGAAAGAATTTCTATTGTTAAAGGAAATCTATGAGTCTTGACAACACAAAATGATGATACATATGAACAGTACAATATGCAACAACATAGCTGCCTAGTAGTTATGACCAAAAAAGAAAAACATATCAATGTCTAATTTTGTGTCCTTCTCTTCTCTGATTATGCGTTCATGAACAGGGGAGGCAGAGTGAGGGCAGGCAGTCATGTGAGTTACCCACCACCAAACAGGCTCATGATGGCTCCCGTGTCAGTTTTGGGTGGGGGTGCGGAGGAGAGGATGGGGGCAGGGGAGCTGAACACATCCGCTGGGGAGGGCAAGGTGGACATGGTGTTTAGAGCCCAAACACACACTGACACACAAATACACACAAACTATTGACTGTGATTCATTATAAGGCACATTTATCAATTGCAATTGCAGCTCACGCAGTCCATGCCGGAATGGGAAACGAGGTGAGAATGATTTAGTAAATATTTCAGACAGCTCAATAGCTTTTAGCTGACCCATAAGAGAGCAATCTCATTTCCTTTTTTCTCTTCCCTGATCAAAGCCAAGGACAAAGCTGAAAAACAGACACAGCAAGGCAGGATATGAGAATAAGAGTGCACGAGAGATGGAAGAGTGGGTGCAATAGGGTACCTGCTGTAAACAAGTCAAGATTGGGAGTGGGGTCTGCTTTGGTGAAGCCTGTGTCTGGCATGGAATCAAAGAGATCTACGAACACATGCGCACCCAGAGACAGGAATATTAAAAAGCGCAAACACTTTTAAAAGGTGAGGACGCTCACACACATCTGCCAACTGAAAGAGGCCTTCAATATGTGCATATCAGTCTGATGAAAAGAAAGGAGATGAAGTCAAGCAGCATCAAATATGGAAATCAAGAGGATGCTAATCAATATGAATAAGAGCACAATACATTAAGAGTGCATAGGACCACACGCATAATGTTTACCACTGAAAAGGTCAGTCGGAGGGTTGGCGGCGCTGGGGACTATGGGAGCTGAAATGGTTGCAGTGGTGGTGATGGTGCTGGATGCGGAGGTGAAGAGTGGTGAAGGGGATGGGGAGGGGGAGGGCTGAGGCACCACAGAGCTAAAACAGGCATCCAGCGAACTACCGGGGTTATTATTATCCACTGTCATCATGCCGAAAAGGTCTAGACCTGAAGACTCTGCGCTGGTGCTACCTTCTGAGGGAGCAAAGGGGTCTTGGGGGTGGGGGTGGGGGTGGGGGAGGACATGAAGAGTAAGGGGGAATGTTAGACAAGAACTTTAATACAAAACAGAATATATACATATGTTTCATGTGATGATGACAATGAAAATACTGCTATAAATATGAAAGCTGAGGAGAAAGAAATCTGAGAGGAATGATAGGAGAGAATGTGCAGAGCTCCAACACACTCCTGCTGTCAGTCGAAACAAGTAAAGCTGAAAATAGCATCTGTGATGGAAACAAAGTGACAAACAGATGAAGCCGATATTTAACACATTCACAGTATATAAACCTCAGGAACAAACCGCAACTAAAACCAGACAACTGCCACAGGCAACCGTCTCCTTAACAGAAAATGCACACATCTTCTGACGCCAAAAGATAACAGTCAAGTGAGTCCTCGATTGCCATGGTAACAACAATAGCACTGTCCAGACACCAGCAGTAATAAATCTGTACGCCTACTCTCCCTGCCCAAAGCCTTGAGATGAAAGCATGATTAAAACGTGAGCCCAACAAGAAATGCAGACATAAACAAAGAGGTAAGTTACAGTCATAGCACTCAAACCAGTGGTGGAAAAAGTTTTCAGATTCTTTACTTAAAGAGGTCAGATTATGCTCATTTTCAGATTTATAATTTTGTTTAGGGGATGTATCAGAATAGGCCTACACGGTTTAATTTTCAAAAAACAGCATATTTTTTCATATTGCACAGTGCTGCAGCATAACCCTGCGTTTTAGCTACTTCTGTTTGATCTTTGTTGGGAGTTGCACATGCACAGTCCATAGGTAAGGTCTTCTCACTGTGTGTGCTGCAGCTTAGTGTGTTCCTCCACTGGTGTTTTTGAGGGGGTGCTTGACTACCCGCAAGGCAAGCATTATGACGCGTGTTCATCCTCGACTACAATCGAGCTCTTGTTTTCACGCAGTTCAGGAGCAGTGTTTTCTGTGGTAGATGGTAACTCCCCTTAGGGTGGACTTTGTTTTTTTTTACTTTGCAAACCTATTACATGCACAAGATATATAACACAATAAAGGGACAAGGGTAGGCAACGGAGAACTAGCAAGAGACAGCTAAAATTTTTAAAGTATCCATCTGCTCAGCTAATTCAGCTACACTTACAGTAGGCTACACATGTGTTACTTTCCACCACTGACTCAAACTCACTCACACAAACAGATTCACACATAGGAAGACTTTGAGTCACCCACCAGCTCCAGTGTTGGCGGCTGGGGTGGACGTGGCGGTAGCCCCACCTTCAGCTGCGGTGGCAGAGGCCTCAGTGGCAGGAGCAGGTGTTGCAAAGGCATCTGAGGTTCACACAAACCCCAGGAGAGGATAGAGACACCCAGAGAAACAGATGAAGATGAAAAGAAAATCAAGTCAAGAAACACGAGGAGGAAAAGAGAACATCAGGAAAATAGAGGTAAATGCTTAGAGCATTTAAGTAGAAAAACTAATAAACAGCACGTGTTGTTACACTTAGTAGCCAATTCAACTGTAAAAAAAATGTAGCTTACAGCATTGGTATCGATACAACATTAATGACTGACAGGTGAATGGCAATGGGAATACAAACAGGAGGCACTACAGCAAAGATTAATCTACAGCACAAAGAGCAGAATAAGACAGAAATCTACTAGTGTTACAGCTGCCATCTGTAGCTGTAGCCATGTGACATGGTTTGATAGACTTGCTTTTCACTGAGGTCAAAGAAAAGCATGCCTCTCTATCAAACAAGGTGCGTGTGGAGAATGGGTGCAGCAGTATGTTTATGTGCAAGCAAAGGTAATGTGTGGCTGGACATAATTATATAATGCAGAAATGTCTGTGAGTATTTGTGGAGGAACAGTGTGTCGATGTGTGTGTGTGTGTGTGTGTGTTTCCATACATTATTATCCTATTTCATATGGAGCCCCAAAGTAGTCATTATTAAATACATAGATAATTATAAAATAAATAATCACATTAATAACTTGTGTAAACTAATAAATTAACCAATGATTTGTAAAATATTATAAATCATTAAAACACAACTGGTTATTAAGAAATGTTATTTCATCATTATTTTCTCTGTTTTATCGTTTAGTTTTTTTAATGTCCATTTTTCAAAAGTCTATCAAGTCTGGTATTTTTCCCAATGGCACACATTTCATAATGTCACACTTCATGCAGTGTTATCACCATTAACTGGCTTCTCACCTTTTTAGCCATCCCTGCAAGCTAGGTAAATATCTTTAAAGTACAAAAAGACAGACAGCCTCTCTCTGTTGTCACCACAGCTAACAGGAGCTAGCTCACATTGCTAATGGTATCGTTTCACTTTGATGCTGAGTGATAATAATCTAAGCTCGGTAGCTAGGTAGGTAACATGAGCAGCCTGGCTGAGCAAAATAAAAGGGGAGGTAAGTTATTGTGTCCATGTATTGTGTTTATTTACAGCAGCAGCCTCTAGTTTGTTGATTAACTGCGGAGAGAATGACCGAGTGCTGTTTTAATTTTGCCAGTGAGCTCACTGAATAGTCCTCTACGTTAAATTCCCTAGAGAGGGAGTAGTGAATGAGTCATGATGATTTACACAGCCATTGTTGCTGTAGCTAACAGGAGCTTACTGGCTAAATCTCGTAGAAGTTCAGCTGGAAGGTGAGGTGGTGGGGGTGTTGACACCAACACTGTCACAAAAAGTGACATGAGGTAAAGGTATTATAGGGGAAATGCCATTATGAAATAAAAAAACAGACTTTTGAAGTAAAGATTTCTATGATGAAATTAAGTGCATGAAATAACATTTCTAATGACTTGAGTTCTTACAGGGGACCTATTATGCTTTTCCATATTTTTGGCATATCTATAATGTTACAATGTCAGATTTAGACACTAATGGCTTAGTATGATGTTATGTGGAGCCGGTTTTCTATATATGGTCATGTGCTCCAGGCACAGAATGCTGGCCACGACCACAAATGAATGCGAAGCCCCATTTTCAGGGTCTCGGCTAATCAGGGGCAGGAGCATCAACAGCTTGTTTCAGACATGGGCCTGCATGAATGGTCGGTATAAGATAGAAAATTATTTTTTGGAACAATGAAAGCTGCCATAGAGGAGTTACAGAACTACAATATAGGGATGGAAATGCAGTATAATAGGTCCCCTTCAAATTATTTAACAATTTATCGGTTAATTTTTATATTTTACACAATTTATTAAAGTTTTTCGCATATTTATCTATTTAATTTTGAATACTTTTCTAGGCATACTTGGCAGCTGAAAATGATGACGTGTGCATCAATGCATCATTAAGACTCACTTTTTTTGATGATGCAACTTCGTTAGCAGAACACAGACAATATCAGTGTGAATCAGCAAAGTTCTGTCTACATTCTGTATGTGTTTGCATGCAGGCAGTCGTCTTTTTATTATCATATTTTGTGATGATTTTAGGGTTGAGCTTCCCAGAGTGATTCTTTCATAGAGAATTTTCTGGAAGCCCACTGACCTCCCAACAGATCCATATTGGCGGCGCCAGGAGAGGTGGCGGCTGCTGTACTAGTGGGAGGAGCTAGAGAGACTCCGGGTTCTGCCGCTGCAGGAGTGGGCGTTGCTGCTGCAGAGGAGGGGGCGGGCTCTGCCGTGAGGGTGGGTTCAGATAGCAAGGAATCGCCCATTTCTACCCGTACCAACGGGGTGTTCAAAATCCCCAAAGAAAGGTACCAAAATAAACCCCAAAAGAGCAACCAAAAAAGCCAGTTGAGTCACCGTTACAACAGTGAACAAAAGCAAGCCAAAACAAAAGTCCAGTTCAAACCAAACCCAATCAAGATTTTTGAAATTGACCGACCAAAGCAAAATCCAAATTTTAACCAAATTAAAGTTGAAAAATTATCCAACGCCATCCGGTCATAACCAACAAATTAAAAACAACCAACCAAAAAAGCCCCCATTGTAAACCAAAAACAGACAATGGAGTATGTGGAGGGAAGGAGGAGAGAAGGCAGAGAGAAACAAAGACACTACTCAAAGAGACAGCTTGAGGAGACAAACAGGGAGGTAAGCATGTGAACTTCGTACATTATAGTGCAAGTTTTAGGTTTCATTTGGGTTAAAATACTGATTGTATTGTTTCCAGATTAGAGTTTGTTCAGAAAGACAGTCAATGACATTGAGGTAACCTGGAGGAGGAGCCCAAATGGTGTATAAATAACACACCAATGTCTTATCAGAACACCTGTTTTGCTTTTCACTTGCCGTTTAATGGCATTTAGTCTGTACAGATTTATACTATATTGTGCGAAAACAGCGTGTCATTTACTGCTATTCATGTCCAATGTGAAACCAACAGTAACCAAAACTTTGCATTGAGGAGTGACACTCACCTGATCCAAGAAGATCTATGGAAGCAGAAAACAAGGGAACAGGAAAAAGACATGTTAAATCAAGAGAAAGCTAAAACTGTTTATGACAGTTCCTATAGATTGTATTAGTTTACTCTCCTAAAATGAAAAATTATTTCCTTTACTGTAAAGGAAAATATGTCTTAATACTGTATTTTATGTAGATGCTCACTAAAATAAAATAGATTTTAGATACTTTTGCTAGCCATCCACAGTAATGGTGGTTTAATAAAGCCTACTGCATTCTTTTGGTGAACCAGCAGCTGATTTGACAGGAAGGAGGGAGACTTACCTCCCCAAGACGTGGGGGCAGCTGATTGTCCCGAGGGACCCGAGGAAGACAGTGGATCCAGGTCCAACAAGGAACTGGAGAATGAGGCAGAAATAGATAGAGCATGAAATTCACCAGCCTTTGCAGAAGGTAATTCTTTTAAATGTTTTGATCCTAAAAAACCTGGTTGCAAAAACCACAAATAAAACTAAGGGTTTAAAGTGAGCCTGTATGTAAGGACAGTGGTGCATTGAGCTAAACACATCTTTTAGAGTCTGAACATGCTAACATTTACTAATAAGCACTAAACATGAACTACAGCTGAGCCTGATGGGAATGTCATTAGATATGTATTGAAGACCTTATTATTAAGTATTTGGTCACAATTTTAAAGCAAATTAAAATTTGACTGCTTTAGAGGAAATGTTAAGAAATCACCAAACTGAATACAATTCATCCTCTATGGACCATGAGTTACTTTAGCAAGTTTTGTGGCAATCAGCCTCATAGTTTTCAAGATATTTCACTCAAAACCAAGAATGTCAACATCTTGGCGCTCAAGGAAAGGTCAGTAGGATTCATCCTCTGGGGACCATGAATGTCTGTATAAAATTTCCAGCAATCCATTTGACATTACCACCACATTAGTGTGATTAACTTTTTAGGGTTTGTCAAATACTCAAACGATATCAGCAAAAGTCCAAATAAATTACCAAAACAATTTAGTCCTTATCTATTGCTGCTAAATGAGGAATTGATCATGTTTTCCAAGGTTGCAGGGACCATTTACAGCAAACAGACACTCACTCTTCAGCTGGCTCAGGAGCAGCGGCAGCGGCAGCACTCTCCCCAGGAGGAGGCTGCAGTGTGGGAACAGCGTTTGAAGATTTGGCTGGGGTTGATGTTGGGGACACATTGTTTGTCGGAGACCCCTGGAAGATAGACAGAGAGGGCCCTTTTTCAGTGGTGCACCAGACTGGAAGGGCTCAACAAAAATATAGATTTTTTAATGTGCCTCTCACCTTTGTTGGAGACCTGAAAGAGCAAAGAAGGAGGAGGAATTGTTAGTGCTTCGGCTTGAACAGATCTCTCTCTCTCTTATTTTATGGGTCTATTTTTAAATCTAAACTCAAGAAATCAAACAAATATGCGAGACAGATTGCATCATATGTGATCATATCAAGAATTTGTTTCCAAAGCAATATACTGTATGTCCAGTAAAAATGAACTGTAAAGTAAAGTAAGCAAAAAGAAATAATCTGATGTATCAAATTACAAATTGTTTAAAATACTATTTTAGTCTAAACACTATTCATTTTAATTTTGTGCTAAAAATCAATTTAACTTTGGAAAGAAACCTTAATTTACTGATTCACATTACATGTAATGTGCATAATACACATGAGGTGACTTACTGTTCATCAACACATGTGTTTCTCGCATGAGTTCACACATGTAATCACATCAATACACACATTTCCACATGTAAACCCAGTAATGTTTGGTGCATAATGTACATTGTGTTTCTATTTACATGGAAATCACCTACATACTGTAATTCACATGTGAATAATGTCTAAGGTTAACAGCGGGGGGATGTGTAAAATAAAGCTATGCAGTTTTTCAAAGAAGTTAGTGAACTCCAAACAAAACAGACAGCATATGCTCACCCTTCACTGGTGATTCCAAATCAACATAAAGAGGGATAAAAGAGAGGATGGGTTAAAGGAAATTATAGAAATAAAGCACTTGTTTAGGCCTGTTTCTGCCGACATTTCTCTTGGTTATGTATGTTTTTTTGTGACACAACTGATAAAAAACAAAGAGATATTCTCAGATCTTAACTTCTTTTACATTTGCTTTTGTGTGATCCCATTTATTCTTATCTGGCTTCTTACTGTGTGTCATACAGAAAGTAAGAAGCTCCCAAACTGAAATTAAAAGCAATCTCTTACCCCTTCTTTCCACCCTTTGTGTCCTCCAGACCGTTCATGTGTGTTTCCAGACTCTCCAGGATACTGCTGGGAGCCTGAAACAAAATCAAAACTGGAGTAATCAATAAATAATCCTTTATTCCACTTGTCTCCTGCTTGCCATGTTTGAATGTGCATAAAGTCCATGTTTACATTTCCATTACAAGAAAAAAAGTGGGTGAGTGGCAGGGCATTTTCAGAAATCTCACTGCAATACCCTCATGCATGTATAAAAAATCACACACATAATCTGAAATTCAATTAGGATCAACATGCCGACACTGCATCCTGTAAACAGGCACGCAGCCAGGGCAGCCTTTGTGTCTGTGGTTACCGGTTCCTCGAGAGATTTAAAAGGACAGTCTTCGTCGTCTGAATCTGCTAGATCCATAACTACCCCCGGATGGAGACACTGGGTGGGGAGATTATGGTGGGTGAGTCATGTGTGTTTCTGTGTGTGTGTGTGTGTGTGTGTGTGTGTGTGTGTGCTGGTCATGTGCATTACATTCTTGGTTGCAATCCTTCACGGGAGAAAATGAATAAAATATGAGAGCAGAGATTAACTTACGTAGTTGATGTCAGGGATGTCATTTTTGTCAACTCCAACTGTCTGTGAAAGGAAAAAGAGTTTAACAACAGCCACTACCACACGGCACTATCCCCGCAGATTTTTCATGGATTTTTCATACATTGTTATGAAGGTCACATTAAGGACTGTTTGGTTGTCCCTTACCTCGGCCAGCTTCATGAATTCTCCAATCTTTGTCACCCTGGTCAGGAACCTCTTGTAGATCTCCAAGGCCTCCTTACAGTCACTCTTCTTCATCTTGAAGTATTTCTCTATATTGGAAAAAAAATGTTGTCATCGTGATCTCTGTTTTCATCTTTGAGGTGCCAAGCAAGAGGTCTCCTCATGGACAACTCACCTAATAAGTTGATGATTCCGTCATTGTAGGATGCAAACAGTTTGACCAGGTCCTTGAAGAGAAGCAGAAATGCAGCATTGATGATCCCGTTGTTCAGCTCCTTGGGATGAACCTGTGAGGAGAAAGAAAACAGAAACCTCTTGTCTCATGATGCTGCATCGGTACCATCAAACACGTGTAGAAATCAAGCCAAAGCCAAAGACTCACATCGAACTCCAGGAGTGTGTCAATCTGAGTCTGCAGAACAGGCATGCCTTTCAACAGCTTCTCAGTGGTCATGGTCCTCATCACACCATCAGCACTGAAAGAATACAACAGAGCATTACATGCTCCACAGGGATGAGAACTGCCATTTTTTTTTTCACAACTAAAGATTTGCTCTGGTCAGAATCAATGGATGAGTTTGTAAACTTGGAGCGTTTCCCCCTTGGTTTCCCAGGAAACCAAAGTACATCACTACAAACCACTCTCACTCGAACTCTCACTCCACTTATTGGTCAACAATAGTAACTAACAATATTAGGTATCTGGGCATTATACTTGGCAAAACTATACCAGCGAAATGCCGAATGCACTTCGAGAAAATGTCTTGCAAATACTACACTACTTTACACTTTGCAAAGAAGATGTGCTGCCTCCAGACAACTGAGCAGACAAGGTTAGAGCATGTACAACACATGTACAACTGTCAACATGAAGTAGTTAATGTTAATGGTAGTTTGTGGTAGTTGGGTCGAATTTCCCACCACTAATAAACCACTCCAGAGTTTTTCTGGGACTATACCCAGACCACCTCCTCTCAATAGTTTTGGTGAGGTTGTGTTGGTCCACACCAGAGTGCAATTACTGTATTCATACCTGCCCAACCAAACCACAGAAAGGGGGAAAATGAACCAGAGTCTGATTTAATCGGACTAAAAAGCACAGTTGAGAAAATCATCTACAATGAAATTTGCTGAGTGTAATGCAATCCTGCCAGAACAGGATCTAGGACCTCCCAGATTGGGACTGGCACCTGTTTGACTGGATTGAGCAACTCTGTATGTGGTGCTTGCAGATTTTGATAGTGTTTGTCACTATCAAAATCTGCAAGCACCACATACAGGCTAGGGGTAAGTGGTTTAATGCTTTTTGGGGTCTAAATCTCTCCCCCCCGACCTGCCGTAAAAGCACCCTCTCTGTGTTCTGGGACCCCGTGATTTACAGTGACCTGCTCTATAGAAATGCGCCTGATCGATGTTTGTCTTTGTTGGATACTGTCTACCATAGTGCATTAAGATTTGTGACTGGATGTAAAGCATCAACACATAACTTGTACAAAATGACAAACTGGTCCTCATTATCAGTGAGGAGGCACATTCATTGGCTTACTTTTATTTACAAGTCTATGCTGGAAATGCTTCCCTCTTATCTTTGCACTTATATGTCACGCAACATCAGTTCCTATTGCGCTCTGGTAACTTGTATTTGTTATCTGGACCTACGGTTCATACAGAGCTCGGTAAGAAGGCCTTTAGTTATGCAGCCCCATCCACCTGGAACACAATGCAGACTGATTTGCAGTTGCGAAATCTTGAATTTAAACACTGCATGAAAGATTTGGAAATAGATGCCATAAATTGTTGTCACTGCTTTTAAAATAACTAAATCCTTTAAACCTACGGTATGCATAAATTGTACTTTTTAAGTAGTCTAATGTTGTTTGTTTATGTATCTTAAGGGTCTTGTTAAATGTTCCTTGTTGTTGTGCTTGGTGTTCATATTTGTAATTGTACACTGTTAAAATGCTGCCATGTTGGCCAGGTCTCTCTTGAAAAAGAGGTTTTAAATCTCAATGAGATCATCTGGTTAAATAAAAGTTAAATAAAAAAACATTATAAAATTTACAAATTAAGCACAGCATAGCATCATCACGCATTTTACTCCCAATAAAACAGAAAAGACTGGTCTAGATGGTCGTTGTGCATATATGGCTCCTATAAGCATAACATTTATGACATACCCCTTCTTGACTCTGGTGAAATCAAAAGCCATCTGGCGGTAGGCGAAGGCTTTCTCGTTCAGGTATCGTCCATACCGTCTGATGAATGTAGACATGTCATAGCCTAAGCAGAAAATATCACTGTCAGAAAGCAGGCAGGGTTCATTATTTTTTCTTTTCGTTTTTAGAAATTATCTGACTGCAAATTATTTGGTGCTTATTTTTCATTTTAAGAATGTTAATTGTAGGACTTCTTTGGATCATTTGTATATAATTGATTTCAATTTGAGAGCATGGGGACGGAAGATCTGGGTAAAAATCACCTTCAACTAATCTGTTCCTTTAATATTTTTTAATTTTTTAAAAGGAAAACCATAAAAAACAATGAGCCTTACAAATGTGGCTAAAATGTTATACCACACATCCCAAATTTCATGAATTTCAGCTGAAACCATTAGGAACTGCAGATTTGGCATTGTTACATCATTTATTCATTCATTCAATTATTTGCAGGTTCTGGGCACAAATACCTGCCCACTGCTGCCCTGTTACCTATTTCTTTTTTTATTCTATACATATTTACGTATAACATGTTTTTTAGCAGATCTAAATTAAGGTTGTAGATTAATTTCTTATTTCTCTCATATAATTCTCTAAGTGTGCTTACAAATGTGCAATGTTATAAATGTGCATCTGTGCACTGTAAAAAACCACCAAAGGAAAGTGCAACCCAATACAGAAATGCCAGCATCTGTTTGCATGCATGTGTGCACATGTATTAGTGTGTGTACAGTTACATGTCCAATCCCTCCTGCCAGATGGCTCATTGTGTTTGTCTCTTCCTGTTTCTTTTTTGCATTGCCAGATGAGTGCCATATTTTTCTTACCGTGAGAGCCGGTTTTGTCGATAAAATTACTGAGGTTGAACAAGGATGTCCTGGAGGCCAAGTACTGAATGAACCTCTGAGGAAGAGAAAGAAAAGCCAATCATCATACCTATCAAGGCAAGTGGAGGAAATTAATTGGTTTTAAGTTAAATACAAAAACAAAACAAACACCTGTAATTGGAGCTTTTCTTTCTGTACTTGTTTCTATCTCATAGCAGCTTTTACAGATCTGATTCCATGGATGACCATACACTGAACCCACAGGACTCATTTAATTTCTTTGAGGGATTGTGGTCAGCCTTTATTATTTTGTCAAACTCCCCTGAGCATTACACACAACCCTCACAGCACTCAAAACACCAATTTCAGCCCTCTGAAGCGGTAACCTCACAAGTTAATTATCAACACATGGAATGGGTAATAATAAAAAAATAAACAGCAACCAATTAAATCCTTCTATCTTATATCACTGAATAAAACTGGAGTCAAGCTTGAACTGAATTGCACCAGATGTGATCTGACTTTGGTCTCACCACTAACCTCATTGCCGTGGACACACATGTGATGACTGGTGACGAGGGCCTTGAAGACGACCACCCAGCTGGCATTGGTGGCTCGCTCAAACAGTGTGTCAGCCATTTGCGGGATGTTCACGTTGGTGGTATTGGTGGCTGACACCAGGTCTGCAACATACAGCCACAAATAAAGATTATCATTCAGAGTTCTTCTGTCAAGCCTCCCTTGCATTCACATCATGTGAAACCTGGTGCGGTTCCCTAGAAGGGGAAATTTCGAACAAGAGGGCATGTACATAATTTGAACTACTCTGATTAAACTTTGATTAAGTGAGACTAAGTGTTCGCTGCAGAGCTGCTCCAGACACCCATGAGAATATTGAGCCAGAAAGAAAGCCTGATGTACATGCGAAATGATGTTGGTGCACAAGGCCACACACACACACACACACGCTGACAGCGCAGAAAGAGAAAAAAAATGCTGAGTCAGCATTTCAGTTCAGACACCCAGACAGACAGAGAGGTCTCCAACAGTTTCAAAGTTTCTGGACCATTGTGTCAGCACAAGGTGGAATATAAGGTGAACAGGAGCAGGAGGATGTGTTGATACACTGGACAACTTCCTCTTTGTTACATTACTGTTGAAATATTGATCCGTAGTTTTATTCCCAAGATTCCAAAGTTCTGGGAATGTGTGATACATCTGATTTCTCAACCCATTTCAGGCACAATTCACACTCACATGCATCAGTATTTTCTGTAGTCCTCCTCTACAGAAGTGTCCTATATCTCCTTCTCTGGGTCTAAAAAGCCATTGCTACTTAGAATAACAGTTAGCCAGTGACACAAACAACTTCTTTAATTTCTTTAATTCTGTTATTGAGAATATTAATATTAAATTTATTCCTGACAAATACTTTTTATGTATAACAAACACATTCTTATTATTGTTCATTATTGATTAATCTGCCCATCATTTTAATGATTAACCAATTGGTCTAAAATGGTGAAAAGTCCAAAACCCAAAGATATTCAATTTATTATCATACAGGGCAAAGAAAAGCAGTAAATCATACAATGAAGAAGCTGGAACCAGAGAATGTTTAGGATTACTCAAAACAGCTGCCAATTTACTAATTGAATAATTGACTAATCATTCATAATATACACACCTGGGGCCCGTTTCACCAAATTCGCAACATGCAAGCTGTGATTTGCAACACAGAACAATTTAATTACCTCAAGGCTATTTTGACACATTTCACAAATAAAAACACACATCATACTAGTACAATTATCAGAAACCTGTGACTGAGAATCATTGCCGTAATATGACGCTGCCTTCATTAGCAACCTGTATGCAAGCACAGCTCACAGGTCGCTTTTGTAAAACAGGCCCCTGATTACCTGATGATGATATGTACTAGAACAGCTCTGTGTAAGCTCCTCTAAAAAATCTAATTAAAATACCATGTTTTATTATTTCTTTGTCTGATGATAAGGAGGAGGAGGAGGAGGTATTTTTTATTTGATTGGCTATTATGGTTAAACAGATGGCCACTGCAACATCCAAATATAAAGCAAGAGGAAGATGATTTGGTCATGCAGAAGAAACACTCAGACACACACTCACAACAGATAATATTTATGGTATATAGATATATGGTATATTGCAGAATGTTTGTCAATCATGCAACACTAACAGTAATTTCCTTTAAGTTCTTGAAATCTCAGTCAGTCTCGCTGACATTGACAGCTGAGCAACAAGGGCAGAACTGAATGTGTCCATACATAGTGCCAGAGAGGAATGCAGCAAGTATTGGCAGACGCCTCTGATAATGGAAGGAGAGGAAGGCCATTATATTATTATATTGCACAGGCCTTGCCTTGAGAAGGTAGACACCAAACTGCAGACCAGACCAAAAATACAGCAAGGGGATGAGCAAGAGAGAGGCAGCAAGGAAGTCAAAGAGCAAGGCCCTCATGAGAACAGCAGGGAGTCTGTTGAGATGCACTAATGTAGACATGAATGTGGAAGAAATGAAGAGACATAAAAGTTGAGCCTGTTCAAGGTCATAACAGGGTGGCAGGCTGAACAGAGGAGCTGGGGTTAGGGTGGTTGGGGGTGTTGTAAACAGATTATTGCTAATCACTGGTCCTGGTCTTCTATGGTGGCTGTCTCGCTGCCCATCCCCCGTACAGCAGACACACACACACACACACACACACACACACACACACACACACCACCTGTCTCGACTTCTAATACGTCTCTGTTATCAGCTTTTTGTTTCCGGTGCTGTTGATGTCAGCCAGAGTAATGATTTAGTAATTATATTCCATGGAACAGACAAGATCAGCTGTAATTGTCAAAATGAAATTAATTTAAAATAGACTGAAGTTAAGTTAAGTCACCGATCTTCTGATCTTTCTGTAACTAATTATGCTCCAGTCCATATGTACAGCTTGACCAGATGGTAACAGCCACACTGTGACATCCGTGATGATGTCTGATGTTTCTATGTTTAATGAAGGCTGCATTGACATCAATCAGTTTCCCACTATGGCTCCCATCTGTCTTTATTAAGTCTTTTCTTCAACACCTCTCATTCTAACGGATGATTTTCTCTCTCTTTCAAACTACTGTTGATCATTTCCGTCCACTATCCAGCCTGTTTATTTTATTTTATTTTACTCTTTCTCTGTTTCTCATTCAGCCTCACTTCTCTGTGAAATGGATAAAGACTACATTCCCCTGCAGCCTTTTCAAATGACAGACATGGTCCACAATGGCTGAAATGCGATTATACAACATTATCATGTCACTGGCGTAGCTACAAGTTCATATTCATACTAGCATGATGAACACAGCTCTAGCCAGAGCCAATCTCAGATTTCCAGCTCATAATGCCTAACAATAACTGTGTATGTACATATGTTATTATATCTGGTGTTGAATGCGTTATGTACTACTATACGAGCCATATCATAGGACATAATCCATGTTTTCTGTTGTGATATCATCACCTGAAACAAACACGCATTGACATACAAGTGTGTGTGCGTCTAATGAGGATTTGCTGAGCTAAATAAAGACTCTTACGGTAATCCACATCCCACAGGAGAGTTCTAATAATGAACTGCGAGGACTCATACTGTGTGAGTCTATGTCTGTGTGTGACAGTGTCTGTGTAAGTGTGTCTTTTTCTGGTCTGCGACAGAGTCTGTCTGCTGTAATCGTTTTTTAGTTAGAGCACAACATGCCTCTAGTAGTAGCCATATTAGTCCAGATACAATTAGACAGACCATACACATGTACTTGTGTTGATGTGCAGATTCATCCAGATAGCCTAATTCTTGTCAGCTATCAGCTAATGCCTGCCTTGGGAGGTTTCACACAAGTTTATGGCGCACAGTAAATGTAGTGCACCATACAGAAATAGTGGATGATTTAAGACAGAGCCCTTAATTCATATGACTCTTAACAACTCTCACGTGCCTGCCTAATATCTCATGTGACCTAATGTTTCTCATGTGACATCATGTAAAGGACCCGCAGGTGTTTAAATGCCTGGGACACCCTACCACTTAGCAGATCTGATGAGGACTCCTGTATGAGTGGTGAAACATCTTAAAGCAATAGTTTGACATTTCCTCTTCTCCGGCTGGTAGGCCTATACACTTGCTTACTTCCAGAGTGACAGATGAGAAGATCAATACCATTCTCATATCTGTACAGATAATATATGGCTGCGGCTGGTTAGATTAGCTTAGCATAACACTGGAAAAAGGGGTGAATAGTTAGCAGGGTTCAGTGGGAAGCTCACTTATGAACACATTATACTTCACGGTGGCGACTTCAGGAAGTTCCTGCTCCCTGCCCTCCACAGTCTGGAACATAAATCCCCGTAAAAATGCTTTTTGTTGTTTATAGACGTTTACAGTTTTTGTTGGGATTAAACTAAAGAGAGACTGTACAATGTGCTAATTACTGAGCATTAAGCTGATGATACACAGAGCAACTTTTAGAGCAATCGTGCAGGGCAACTTTGCCGTCAATGGTAATGAGTAAAGATTACTACCGTAATCCCCTTCCCCCACCACTCCGCAACCCACCCCGAACCACCGCTATACGTTCAAAACATAGTCGGACTTGCCACTAGCAAGATTGCCCAGCAACATTACTTACATACAAACAAAAACTAACATTCACACACATTCAAACACCAGTGGAATAGCCACCAGGGGTTTGGGGTTCAGTATCTTGCCCAAGAACACTTCGACATGCAGCCTGGAGGAGCCGGGGATTGAATGGCCGATCTCCTGAGCTACAGCCGCAACTACTTGCAGTGTAATTTTCAACATGACCTCAGATGAATTTAAACCTACTGCCTTTGCCCTTGCCTCTTTCAGTCGACCTTGCATGTACCACATGTTCTCTAAAAATTTATAAGGCATGCCCTCCAGTGTTCTTTTCATTACATCTACTGTGTCTATATACAGTGCAGGACTAAATAAACTTCAAAAGTGAGAAATTACACCTGTTCTTTCCCTGCACTGTGGGCCCCAATTTGCAAATGCAGGCATCAAAGCCAAAAGAAGATGAGACGTTTGCTCTCTGTATAGAGGAAGATCCGGCACACATATATTACATTTGCAGCTTTTATTTTGTAGTTGAATCATGGGTGAAAAGGCACCTGTGACACACCCATATTCACACACACACACACACACACGCTTCTTGATCAGGCAGTTCGTCTTTTATGTTTTGCCATGTATAATCAGAAGACAGTGTTGGCCACTTGCTAGAATAAATGCTTAGCCTGCACTGCAACACCATTACAAATACATTCAGAAACCCTCATCATTGCATCTGTTCGTTCTAGTTAAAGAAGCATGCACCCATTGTGATTGTCTCGTGCACTCTGAAGATGACAGGCCTGTCATTTGTTTCCTTCCTCCTCAGGATCTCCCTCTGCCCTTACTGTGCCGTCCCTCGACACTTTCAATCTGTTGCCATAACAACTGCTCTGCACCACCACGGCACACCCACGTCCACCCCAAGGGTCACAGACCTGTGTCACTGTGACAAAAGAATAAATACGACCTATGGGATATATATATTTATATCTACCTACCATCAAATACTGTGAGTCAAACATGCTGAAAGATGGGAGCCATTTACTTGTACTTTTCAGTGTTTACTTACGGTATTGTACTTATTTGTTCCTATTTTCAGCCTAAACTATATCAAAACATAGCAAATGAATCAAAGTTTGAGGTCTAACTGGAAAATGTTTTTTTCTGTTTTTTTGAGGTTAGGAGCTTCCTCCAGCCAAGATAGGCTATGCATGCAAGAGAAGCACAGTGGCCTACATACAAGAAGCTTGTTGAATTGCCCTAGAAATGGAGACAGTATGACCTCAAAGACTAAAAACCTCATGGAACACAGAATGTTCATCTATGTCTTGCAGGATACTCTAATTAATCAAATGTATAATGATATTTCCATGTGTCTGGAGTGTATCAAGAGGTCAGTAGAAGTGGTGTCCTGTGGCTGGAGAAATAGGTGATGACTTGTACATGTGACTCTTTGTGCAACAGCTAATCAAGTCCAGCGCTGTAAAGTCAAAAGCAAAAGACACACAGAAAACAAACACACGGATACAGCAGAAAGTGAAGAAGCAATGGTCTCTGGTGCTTTCTAGCATTAGCATTGTCACCTTTGGCGGTGTAAATAATGCAAGGCAGTCATTGGCTGATTATTCAATTATTCAGCAGGGGAGTGGATCACAAGATATATGGTCCTAGCACAAGACACAGGGAGCAGAGCTGTCCAGCGACCACACACAGACTCGGATGGACACTCACAGCCAGTCAGACCACCCGTCATCTGTATACAGCGGCATTCCACTGCTATGGTTTGACTCAGTATTTGTGGTAGATGACAGCGATTAATCATGATTTGTCATAAGGTGGCCCCTGCTGTCATCTGGAGATGTGTTAATAAAGCTGTATGGTTTGATCATTTAATTCAGCTGTGACTTCATGAAACCAAAAAAGGTCCCTTTGCATGTTGTTCAGACAGCATCCCAGCTTGGAATTTACATTTGAATTTGGTATGTGTGCATATGATATGTGGACTTCAGCAGCTCTGCTACAATAAAGCTTCAATGGAAAGTAATGGAAAGTTGCTTTGCAGGAGAGGAGACATTAAATGGCCTTTTTCTGGGAATGACTTGTCAGTACCTTAAAATATGACCTTTTCTCCCTCCCTCTCTCTCTTCCTCTCCCTCTCTGGGTTTCCATCATATTTACTGGAGGCTGACACAATGGGTCACCAGAGGGGTCATCCCCGTGGCTACAATTCATTATGCACCACACCCTTTTAAGCTAAGGGAATTAACAAAATGACTGGTCATGGTCATAGCTCGCATGGCTGTGGTGGTATGTGGTCTGGGTGGATGTGTATGCAGTCTGTTAACCTAGGCCCTATACAGCCAGCCCGTGCAGCGGGGAAGAGGAAGAAGGACTTACACTCCAGGTGCTTTTTCTTGGGCGCCATCACTTCGTGAGTGGTGGCTTTGCAGACAGCCCGGGCCATATCTGATCCCGTTAGCTGGTATTGCGCAGCGGCAATGCGATCCGTGAGCGTTTGCCCCGACATTTTCTCTCCGTTGAATCGACCACCTCAGGAATGTATTTCACCACGGGACGATGAAAAAATTGTATGAATATCACCCGGCGGCTTCCCGGTGGTACAGTAAGCGGATCCTCTTCTCCGGCTGGTAGGCCTATGACCTTCTGTGTGGGCGGAAGAAAAATCACACAAAATGAGCACAAACCACTACATAGCCTACACCAAATTTTCACGTCAAATCGTGCGGTCACGTTGACAATATGCTCGGTGACATGCGGGGACTTACGCAAGGTTGTGAATTCCCCTCGGCTCGTCCCGTTAAAGGCTCCGACCGTTCAGTTCAGCACCTTGGACAGCTAATGCCACTCGGTTATGTAATGTAACACACAACTGGCAATGAAAGCTATGTTCTCACCCCGCAGCAATTTATTTTTAAAAAATAGGCCGATGTTGCAAACTCTGATTGTCCAAAAAATTGGCTACCTGCCTTTCTGTGCATTAAAACCCCGCAATGTCCCCTCTCGGTTGTCAGATTCCGGTGTTTCCTTCCTCTCTGATCTGTCCGTTTCGGCTCAGTAGTGCCACTTCAGATGTTGTGGTCCTCTCCTCAGATCGACAGAAAATGCGCACTGCTCCCCGGTGGTGTCGCCAACACTGCGCAGCGCAGGATGCTCCAGAAGAGCAAAGAGACAGAAGGGAATTTCCTTTTCTCCTTCCCACTGTGTTTATTTATTTGGCCTATCTATATGTCCATTTCCTCCCTCCCCCCGAGCTGGTGCTTGGACAGGGTTGGATGACACACGTCGCATCCCACGTCTCTTAAAGGGGAGTCGACAAGGAGGGGGGGGGGTCACTGTACAGAAACTCACATCACCAAGCGCCAAAGCGTGACTGCATCGCACAGGTTTACACGCACAGCATGCAGACTGACAGATGATGAAGGTGAAACATTTTCTGTAAGATATAAGAAGACCCTATAATTTGACCAAATGTGGCACCATATGGTAGATCTGGCTGTGATCAGCTAAGGAAGCCTAATAGACCCGGGTTACATTTTGGCCCACAATACTGTTAAGGCAAGAACAAACAGAGCCGTGTTATGTGTCCAATCTCAATATTTGCGTTATATGGGCGTTATATTGATCTAAAATCATAACCAGCCTTTATTTTTTAAGAACATGCATTTAACAAATATAAAGGGGGTATAATTTCATTTCATTTCACAATTTCATAGTTATTTGGATTGGTTGTGGTGTTTTAAAGCTTCCCTGCATCAGAGACAGGCCTACTGTAAAGAGAGAAATTTATCGACGGAGAAAAGCGTACTGACAGGCACGCTGAGCGTGCTTGCGTCACGGAAGACGTACACGGAACTGTAGCCACGTCGTCAACATGAGTGGAGGAACCGGAGAAACAGGAAACGCTTCATTGACTGCACTTCATTACGAATCATCCACAAAACAACACAGTAAGTGAATATAAAACAACTTACCACGCTCACAGTTGTAACTTCGGTTTGTCTTTTACGTTTAGCGCTGGAAGCACCAGTTTGTGCGGTGTGTTAATGTAATTTCAGCTAGTTAGCGTAAGTTATGTCTAAGGTAGCCTACTTGGCTTGTCTTTCAATAGACATGATTCAGTTTATGGAGTTTATCTCTTTTGTAGGCGACAGACTGCTGCTGCAATTTGGCAAACTTTGCCCTCTTCTTGTCCTTTGACATTTTATATGACAGTGTGGTCTAGGCGTAGTTTTCAGTAGGAGTTTTTTCATATGTAGCCTAAGTATAAAGAAGCTCAATTGATTGCTCAGTATGTTTTCTATATTGTTCAGATTTGCTCAGCCTCCACTATCTACGATATAAAAATGCTTCTTACACGTTTATGCCGTAATGATAGTAGTACTTCTGCTGCATAACAAGCACTTTTATTTTGATACTTTAAATACATTTTGTTGATAATACTTCTGAACTGTTAATTATGCTTCTGGAGTTGTGGTATTGCTACTTTTTCTTAAGTTAAGCACGTTGATACTTCTTCTATCTCTGACTGGTCTGCTTGTTGTGTCTTTGTAATGTGTTTCAGTGATGGCCCAGTTTCAGGAGGTATCAAAGCAGTCCAGTCTGCACCCTAAGCCTGCAGGGTTGGTTTTGCAGTATGGCACAGCCGGTTTCAGGACCAACGCCAAACATCTGGACCACATCATGTTCAGGATGGGACTGCTGGCCGCTCTCCGCTCCAAAAAGACCAAAGCCACCATCGGAGTCATGGTCACTGCATCACACAACCCTGAGGTGAGAAAGGGATTCAGAAATATTAACGTCTCGCCTTGGATTTATGGTTTACTAAATTTGACCCCATAATTTTGTTTTCGTTTCATATTGTTAATGGAAAATTGACTCTACCTCTCATACACATAATTACACACACACAATCATAATTCTCCCCTTATACTTCCTTCTGCCTCTGTCTTTATATCTGCACTTGGGTAGGAGGACAACGGGGTGAAGCTGATTGACCCCATGGGGGAGATGGTAACATTGACGTGGGAGGGCTATGCGACCCAGCTGGCCAATGCTGAGCAGGACGATTTGCTCACTGCTCTGACGGACATTATAGAGAAGGAAGCCATAAACATGAGCCATGAAGCTAATGTGTTTGTCGGCAAAGACACCAGGTATATGATGATACATAATATATAAAGTAATTTCTTGTTCAGATTTCATAGATACACCCATGTCATCCAGGTATCAGTGCAGGAAACATACACTTTTACCAGACTTTTATGTGTTAATATTATTAACTCTTACTGTGACAGCAAATTATTTCGCTCTACATTATGAAGTGTAACAAAAGAATAAAAAACATGTGTCTTCTAATTATAGAAGCAGCAGTGGCAGCCTTTCACAGGCTGTATTGGATGGAGTGTCTGCACTCGGTGGTCACAGAAAAGGTGGGGTTAATTAAACGTGTATACCCTGAAATTAATTTGCTTACCTACTTAGTTGTGTTAATTTCCATACTTTTTTCTTCTTGTCTTGTTCTTTATCTGCCCTCTCATCTGACTCTCTCATCAGACTATGGTTTGGTGACCACCCCACAGCTGCACTACATGGTTTGCTGTCAGAACACACAGGGTAAATATGGAGAAGCCACAGAGGAAGGATATTATAACAAACTCTGCCAAGCTTTCATTCAGCTCACGAAGAATGTAAGAAAACAGAGCGTGTTCTTGTGACTTCTTTCAAGCCCTGTACATTTGGGTTTTTGTAATAATATCCATCTATCTAGAAATCACTCCTTTCTCCTCACCTCCACCTTTTTCTGTCTGGTAGGCGTCCAATTGTACAGATGACCAGAAGCACCTCTCTATCGATGGTGCTAACGGTATTGGGGCTCTAAAGGTGCGGAGGATGGAGAGTCACCTGAAGAAGGAGCTGCATATATCCCTGTTCAACGACGGCAGCAAAGGGAAGCTCAACCACCAGTGTGGGGCTGACTTTGTCAAAGTGCAGCAAAAACCTCCAACAGGTGCGACTGTGCTCTATAGAAAGTACTTTTCAGTATTTTATTTGCATTGAGCTGAGTAATCCAGGGGGTGGGGTGGGGGGGCTTGGCAAACTTGGTGCCAGTTTCTTTGTCCCTGTTAAAGCTTTTGGTAGAGAAGTGCCAAATAAACAAATGTGACCAAAAGAAAACACAAACTTTAGAACGATAGATGCTATTTTCAATTGACCACTTCCATCTTGCATCTCTTCCCTCTGCAAAGGCATTCAGATGAACCCAGGGGAGCGTGGCTGCTCCTTTGACGGGGATGCTGACCGAGTAGTTTACTACTACACTGACTCTGAGGGACAGTTTCACCTGCTGGACGGAGACAAAATCGCCACTCTCATCAGCACCTTCCTTAAAGAGCTGCTCACACAGGTAAACTCTCAGATGCAAACATGAAATACAATAAACAGGCACACATACACAAAGTCTTTGTAAATTGATTTTTGTTTTTGTTCACACAGGCTGGTCTAGACTTGACGATAGCAGTGGTGCAAACCGCTTACGCTAATGGAAGTTCAACACGCTATCTGGAAGACACTATGAAGGTGGGACAACACAAGTGCATTTCTTTTATTCCCTTTTTATTTTTTTAAATATGAACTAAAAGTTCACACCTTTTCATGTGATTTAGGTAATAGTGAGGTGTACTAAAACTGGAGTGAAGCACCTTCATCATGCAGCCCAGGAGTTTGATATCGGTGTGTACTTTGAGGCCAATGGTCATGGAACTGTGAGTAGATCAGACACGCACTTCAACAGGTCGCATGAAGCATCGATCATCATCAGTATAGCGCAGTAATGAAAGCCATTCTTTTCTGTGTTGGTGTTGGGTGAATTATACACATACAAATCCTAACATGATGTGTGATGATGTGTTTGTGTTGTGGTCAGGTGTTGTTCAGTGAGGCAGCTGAAGAGAAGATCCAGCAGCTAGCCAAGAACCCCAGCGCCGACGACGAGAGGAAGAGAGCGGCTCTCTTGCTGCAGAACACTACAAACGTGATCAACCAGGTGGACACACGCGCTGAACCTTTCAAGCAAAGCAACATTATTATCACACTCAGCCGCAGCTCTTATCTGTTACTTTTATCTTCCGAAGACTGTAGGTGATGCCATTTCTGACATGCTGCTGATTGAAGCCATATTAGCCATCAAGGGTATGACTATCCAGCAGTGGGACGCCATCTACAGCGACCTGCCAAACAGGCAGCTCAAAGTCAAGGTGCTGGTTAATTTATGTGTCATAATGTTGAATATTTCTGATAGTGAATCCTGTAGAATTTTTTGTCTGTGTCATACCTCAGGGTTCTGACAGGCCTGGAAAGTCCTTAGAATTTTTGGGAAAATGTTGAATTTTAAAATGTAATGAGATATATTTTAATGCACTTCACATCCTGAAGAGCTGCTGCTGATAGATATATTTTTATATAATGCAAGTTTTTAAGTTACAGCTTCATTGTAATTCCTTGACATGACAAGTTCATGAGCAAAAACATTAGGCCTCTTGTCTGACTTTGACCAAGAGCATGTCTTACCTAAACATAAGATTCATTATGAGTGTTTAAATTTCACCAATAATAGTCAATAAAAAAAGTACTTCATTGTGATATACCTGTGACTGCAGTAACCCTAGACCTGGTAGGCTTTCAGCATCCAGCTCAGGAAGACTTCTTTTCCCGTTTTGTACACAACCTGTACTCCCATCATTGCCACTTGAATATATTGTGCATACGCAGTTATGATTAGCTACACTGGATTTGGTTCTGTAGGTGTTGGATCGTAGGGTGATTGACACAACAGATGCAGAGAGACGGGCGGTTAGCCCTGCAGGACTGCAAGAGGCCATCGACAGTTTAGTGAAGCAGTACAGACAGGCCCGCTCCTTCGTGAGACCCTCCGGCACAGAGGACGTGGTGAGAGTTTACGCCGAGGCAGAAACACAGGTGAGAATTTCTTTGGGTTGGTCCTCTTTGGGACATTGTTCTGTCTTCTGTTGTTATTCTGTGACACATACAGGTATTGTATTTGTGTTTTAGGAGAGCGCCGATGACCTGGCACATGAAGTGAGCCTTGCAGTTTATCGTCTGGCTGGGGGAGTCGGGGGTGAACCCAAGCTGTTGCACTAGAAACACAGATACAAAATCACACAACATGGATCAATCAATCGGTGCTTTATGAAGGCAGTCAATAACATCATTTTCTAAAGTTTTAATTTATCAAAATTGCTTGTTTTCGGTGAGGTGCCAAATTATTTTGTGCTGTCAATTGCACTGCTCTAGTTTTCTTTTGCTTTATATTTGCCATGTCATTGGAAGATATGGGACACACTGGGGGAGACAATGAAGGGGTTTTATGCTACTTTGAGGAATCCTACACTTGTTTTTGTATTTGAAACAGGCTGTCTTGTGCCTGTAAACTATGGGTTTCTATGTGATGTAAATAAGCTACTTTACTGTATATATGTCATAATTAAAACATTTCACACACAAATTAAAAAAGGTTTTAATGACTGTTTCGATTAAATGTAGGTTATAATGTGTTACTTCCTACTAAACTGAATCTTTTTGAAAGTTACTGTGTGTAATTTCTTTGCTTTTTGGTTCGGAGCAATCAGAATAATCAAGTTTACATGAGGGAAGTTGTAGCAATTGTGCTTCCGTTTGAATGTTGGAAACCCTTTGCTGCTTTGGTATAAATAAATGATGGAAAAGAAAAAAAGTGTGCATATTTTTAAGTGTTATGAATGATGACTGACTCTTGATTTAAATGGCAAACCACAACTATGATTGCTTGCTGTTTATTTAGTTACTTTGAAAAGACACAGAGGATTAAGAGCACAGAAAAAACATTGTTAGGCTGACAGGGAGTAGGTACAGCAGAGTGATGGGAAACAGTGTGTATTGTAGTCTCCATGCAGGATGAACACAGTCCTTCAAATGGGCACATGGTGCTTGAAGACAAGTTCGATGTTTCTCTTAAATTCAATATTAAATTCTAGGACTTGGCACTAACGTGACATGAAACATTGGTGTACAGCATATAGTTAGCAAGGGTCGCTCAGAGAGATTTGGGGGCACTAAATGGTCTATTCTTCTTCTGTGTCGTCTGCTGCTCCAGAAATGATGATGGTGCGCTCCTGTGTGTCGCTCTCATAAGTATCCTCATCTGTCTTAACTGTTCTGGGAAAAAAGGGCAACAGGTGGAGAAATAAGACATTTTACTGGATCAGTCGACTGAACAAAACACAAATGTTTTTGTAAAGTCACCCTCTACCTGATGAGGACAGTTTTCCTCTCAGACATCTCAGTTGCCTGCTCCTCTAAGTTGCCGTCTGTCTGGGTGTCAGACGAGGCCACCTTCAATTGGGGGCCGCCAGCACCCGGAGCCTTCTCAGCCCCGCTACTGGCCATGTCACTGGAGGCTGGATCTAACTTTGAAGACGCTGCAGGGACTGAGCTATCAGAGGCTGAGGCTGAGGTAGCACGCACACCGGCACTGGAAGTGAGATGCAGGCCTCCTGTTAGGGACAGGTTTCCGACCATGGTACTCAAACGGCTGTCTTCCCCCTCGATCAGCTTCCTGAGGCAAAAAACAGTGGAGTGACATTAGAATGAATGCTGCATATAAAATGAAAAATGGTGTAGTCAGTAACTCAATGTTCCTCTGTGCCATGTGCCATCTTATATTTTTCTACTAAATGTGAAACAGTCAGGTTTGCATTCTGTGGAAATGGCATTATGTTGTGTTCACCTGTAGGTGGTGATCTCAATCTCCAGAGCCATCTTTACATTTAGCAGGTCCTGGTATTCCCGCAGCAACAGAGCGATCTTCTCCTTGGTTACCTGTAGATCCAACTTAATCGCCTCTATACGCTCCTGTTGCAATAGAATACAACAGGATAGCTTTATTTTAAGGAGCATTTGGCCCAGAAGATGACTAGAATATCAGTATATATATATATATATAAATATGTATCCTACTGTGTGAACAGCCTGAGTGAATATAAATAAATGCAATGGCACATCATGCCAGTAACCTGTAAGTCCTCCTCCTTCTTCTTGTATTTTTCCACTGCATCACGAATCTGAGCTTCCAAATGCTCGTTCCTCGTCTTCAGTGCATCCAGCTCACGTTCCTTGTTGAGAATCTTTACACACACACACACACAGATAGATAGATAAGAAGTGGTAGTAGTAACCATTAACAAAAACAGAAAATCATACTCACATCCTTCTTATAGCCTGCGATTTCCTCTCTCAAACTTCGAATACTTTCAGCGTGTTTGGTGGAGGCATTGCTCAGGTCCTGAAACTTTGACCCGTACCAAGCGTCCATTTCCTGAAGAATAAAGGACTTCCTCAGTGTTTTGCTCGATCATCCCTGCTTTGTATAGCCTTAGAAGAGTATTTCTTCCATGCTGTATATAACCCAAACCCAAGACATGCCGGTGTTTGTCACAGTTCCTTCATGTGGTTTAAGACAGTTGTGCATTAGAAGGGTTGAAGTGAACATGGTGCGGCTTCCTCGTTGAACCCTACCTGTAGGTTTTTGGCGGCAATGCTGTCGTACTGAGACTGAATCTGTTTGAGAGCAGAGGAGAGGTCTGGGAGGCCAAAGCTCAGGTCCACCCTGGAGGCCGCTGAATAGATCTGCTGCATCAGCTCATCAATTTCCTTTCAGGGGATCAGTTAGAAGAATAGCAATACGTGCAGAAATTAAACATTGTGTGGGCTGTGTCTCAAATTAAGTTTAAAATGCAGGTCTGTATTACTTTCTTAGATAATAAAACTCAGGAATATGAAAGATCATTTTAAACCTACATGGAAACAGTATTTGATCTGGTTTATGGGTAAGTAATATGGAAACCTTTATGCATGTTATTAAGGAAGATTCTGCACCACAAGTTAGTCACAGTGTTACCCTTTAGCTTCCTGACCTTCACACCTTACTGATAATTGCCCCGTTTACGGTCTTACTCACACTATTCATCAATACGGTTTAAACTGTCATACCAATAATTACCAGCCCATTAAACCATTCATGATAAAATGAAAGGCATGTCACCCAGCAGCCACTGACTCATACACAAGGTATGCTGTAGATGGACAGGTGGGAGGCCAGACAAACACACATTACCTCCTTGTGAACTCTATGCAGGAAGGCCAGCTCAACCTCCAGGTGTTCCAGCTGTTTCTCCAGTGTGATCCGTTCTGTGGTTGCTCTGTCCACATCCTGGGACATTGAACCGCATATGGTTTGAATGGTTCGGTGAGATAAAAGCCAATTCTGTTCATAAGCCTTCTACTGGCTTTCAGAAACTTATTAAATTTGAAGTTGTGAAAAGACTTTCCCCTGTTTCTTACCGGACGGAGAACCTCAATGTCATGCTCCGTCTTTTTCCGGGCATCCACGGCCTCATCATATTTGGCCTTCAGCATATCCAACTGGCCCAACGTTGCCTCCTTGGCTGCCAAAGACATATCCTGTACAGGCCAGATATAACGTATTTGTCAAATGGATAATGCAGCAGATAAAAGGGTGAAAAGGAGCATCAATGTTATCATATTTTGAGCCACACCTGTACTAGTCACAACGAACTATGATCTAAACAACTCGTGGTCATGAGTTATGACATCCCTCACCCTCTCGACTCTCATTTGCTCGGCAACCCTGTAGAGATCCTTCAGCTGGGACTCGTACAGCTGCCTGAGGCCTGGTCTGACAAGGCGGCTTTTAAGGGCCTCAATCTCAGCCTCCAGCAGCTTGTTTTTTGACTCCAAGGTTCGCACCTAGCAGAACAAATACAGGAGACACAGACACAGATTGCAAAGTTCAGATGTCAAGAAATGAAAATGATTATGGATGATTATTTTGGAGTCAAAAAACAAGTGTGACATTTAAGAAGTGATCAAATGTGTGTCTGTGTGTGGTTGGTCCTCTTGCCTTTTCAATATACACCGCCAGGCGGTCGTTGAGAGCCACCATCTCCTGCCTCTCATTGGTTCGAGTCATTATAAAGGCCTGGTTCTCTGCTACAGCCGCATCCAGGTCCAGTTTTGGCCCAAGTCCCATAGACATACCAAAGCACAGCGCTCTCATACTCACACTGCTATAGACCAGACCACAAACGAGTTTTATTTATTTATTAATTATTTATTAATTATAGTTTGGATTTTATATTGATCTATTAGGTACTTTGCAATCATAAGCACATAACAGTCATCTGAGAAGCTCTGCTGAGATCATTTGGATCCATGTTCCACTGTAACAACAGTGGGATTTATCTCTTAAACTGCATTGAGAACATACAAACCTTGGATCATACATTTAGTGATTTAGATTTCAGTAATTAATTTTGTTGCACACTTAAAAAAAAAAACAAATACAAGTGAATGGGAGTCAGGACAACATTGTGACAGGCGACTCACCTGGTGATGCGAGCTTTGTTGGAGGTGGCCCTGCGCTCCATCGTTCCACCACTCCGGGTGAAGCTGGCCGACCGGTGGCGGGTCTCCCTGCGGGTGGGAGAGGGACTGGACACGCGGAGCTGGTAGGCAGGAAGGGCCAGTGTGCCCTCGAAATGCCGGCGGTAGGAAGACATCCTCTCTGGACTGCGGCTCATGATGATGCTCGTGTAACTTTTGCAACTTCAACTGGAACTAGTCACTCACACTTTTTAGTCTGTAGTGGGATCTTTATACCCTCAGCCCTACCCTAAACACTGCAGAGGAATTTTGAATGTCCTTCCCAACCCAAGGGTGAATGTCCCTGCAAACATCTATCAAGGCAACGTCAATTTACTTATTAGCCTATAGACATTTGGAAGAATCTTAATTTTATAATGATGCAATTATCTGTTGACTTACCTGTATGGGCTAATTTAACAGAATGCGTGTAAACACGTGAACACAAGAACTGAACATACATGTAGGCTACATTTATTCATAATTAGGTGTTTTGCTAATATTTTAATTTCGCAATCTGCCAATCCACACACCCACCCATTATTCAGTCCTCCATCCTCTCCATCTATCATTTTCATCCTAAATAAATCTTAAATGATGAAAACATGTATTTCGAGAAAACAGCCACGCAAAAAATAAACCTTTCTTTTAAAGTTTTAAAGGAGGAAACAAAATGCGGAACCATTGTATTACATTGCCTATCCTTCGCCGGAAGGGTTTCCATGTTACTCCAGTGTCTACTTTGGCTGTGCTGTCCACTTCTTTGTAGGAAAGTAAAATCAGTTTAAAGTGTGCTTCTCTACCTCAGCTGCTACGACATGGCGGGAAACTTCTGGCAAAGTTCTCATTAGTAAGTTGTAATTAAATTGTCGACGTGTTACGTCTTTATTTTGTAAATCACCGTCTGTGTTGTGAGGCCTAGCTGTGCCGCTACAGCAAAGCTAACAGTTTCTCCTGAACTGACGTTATTGCTACGATATAAAATAGCAATTTAAAGACTTCTATTTTATTTTTAGACTAGCTTCATTTTATATTTTACATGCTTTGTGACAGCAACATTAAGGTCTAACAGTGTTTCACGTTGGTGCTGTTAACGATATCTGCTAGCTTGGTTAACAGTCTGACTATCCAGTGTGAGTATATTTAAATAGTGTGTTTTATTTTGTCCGTCAAGTCTGCAGTGGGTTCTGGACAAGCAGGACCTGATGAAAGAGCGCCAGAAGGATCTGAAATTTCTTTCAGAAGAGGAGTACTGGAAGCTGCAGATTTTCTTTGCGAATGGTAAGTTATTTAATTCAAGTCTGTGTTTCATGGCCCGGTATCTGCACTCATTTACAATAAAACCTGTTTACTTCTTAGATTATCTCTACATTAAATTACACAACATCATATGTATGCCACTAATACAGTCTAACTGAACAATATACAGTAATATACTTTCTATGTATGAGTAATGTAGTTGTCTTTTTAAAATGATGTGTACTTGTGCTCATTATTCACATCTCATCAAGTAATTTTAACTACATAATTAAGCCAGGTTCAGATATTTGGTGTTTAATTCCATCTCTTTCAGTGATCCAGGCTCTGGGAGAACACCTGAAGCTGCGACAGCAGGTCATTGCAACTGCAACTGTCTACTTCAAACGCTTCTATGCCAGGTAAGAGGTATCAGCGTAGTGCTGAAGAAGAGAGATGTGAATACATTTAATCTGCGACTTTGGTAATAGTAATGTGCTTGTACAAAATGTTGCCATAATATCTGTACTATGTTTTGACACACTTATCTGACATTTTTATCTGAATAGGTGAATAACTGCCTGCCTTTCATATTCACATCCTTACATGATATGTTTTTCTCAGAAACCTCTATTTAGGATAAGACTATCATATGAATACAATATTGTCATTGATCAAAATTTCTCACATTGATTTTATCTAGGTAGTCAATAATGTTATGCTATTGTCAATATTACATGAGCTTGTGCACACCTTGCCATTTTCCCTTAATGTACTTCACATTTTGTAGCTCTGCACAGTGTTGTGTGTGACATCATCACTTAATCTCCACTGCATTTTTCTATTGTCTAAATCCTACTCGTCCAAGCAAGTCTGAGAAATCTTTATCTCTTCTTGTTTGCAGGTATTCCCTGAAAAGTATAGATCCGGTGCTCATGGCTCCGACCTGTGTTTTCCTGGCTTCTAAAGTTGAGGTATGGACGTTTCTGTGGTGCCAGTAAGACCAGAATTTTACACTGGACATTTTCACCATCTCAGCTCATGGTTAATGATAAGTAAAATACCAAGTCCAGCTGTATTTATCTGATCTGAGCTCAAACATGTATGTCCTTTCAGGAATTTGGAGTTGTGTCCAATACCAGGCTGATCTCTGCAGCAACATCTGTGTGTAAGTCACCACGTTCTGAAACATATTTCCAAAACTTGCAAGTAGTACAAGTCTCTCAAATTGTGTTTTTTCTGCGATGGAGACGACAGAATCATGTTTTGTCTTTCTCAAACAGTGAAAACAAGATTTTCCTATGCCTTTCCAAAGGAGTTCCCTTACAGAATGAATCATGTAAGTAAAATGTCTATGGAATAATTTGCATTTTTGGCATTCATATGCTGCTATCCAGAGTGACTTGCACTAGGAGGCAAAGTTGAAGGAGATGTTTCAGCCTAAGACAGTGTGTCCATGAGTAAAACAAAGTCACCAGTTTAAACCACTCAAATTCCAATCATAGCGATGCTATCAATCAACCACATTATTTTTTTGCAATGTTATTTATGGACTGCTGTGGTACATTACCGCATACCACGAACCCCATACACTCTCTCACAGTGTTGCCATGTCAGTGTCTACCAATGCGCGAGATTCCACAACTAATGTTCGCAAACCCCCGCTAAAAGTCTGTACGAGATGGCGCACGCAATAATCCTGCACTGCATTTCTCAAGTGGTGCTCACTGCCAGAATTTTTATTTATTCAGCATCTCCACCGAGCTGCCAGGACGTCAGCAGGGCTGTTCTGACACGCCACCTGTCCAGAAAGCTGTGTAAACTATTATTTATAGTGAGCCACCATGGAGCGACAAAAGGAGGGAGTGGTTCACACAGCAGGGAATGAATTGGCGGTGTGCTGCAATTCCTAAATGTAATTGTGATGGTGGCACAAGGACAATATAGCAATAATGTTTGTAGTTTTTGTTTGAAAGCTCAGTTGATATCGCCTGATGTTGCTCCCCAACAACAGGTGTCACATAAAATATAATACATGCACTGCACGCTATTAAAGAAATCTAATTAACTACCCAGAGACTCTTTTGACTTTATTTTGAATCATTATTGTTTTCAACCTGACATGGGTGCATTTTTGCTGTTGGGCCCCATGAAGAGTGGCCATCTTTGTTTTCTTTCAAACACTGTGAAAACAGCTTGTGATATGTTGAATAAAATTTTAATTTTTGTCTTTACAGATATTAGAATGTGAATTTTACCTTCTGGAGTTGATGGTGAGTGGAGAGAGTTTAATATCTCTACTACTGTACTGTTTGCCGTGTTTTGCTTGATTGGATGCGTGGTTGGATTACTTATTATTGATATAATCTATTTTTCAGGACTGCTGTCTGATTGTGTACCACCCCTACAGACCACTGTTGCAGTATGTGCAGGATATGGGGCAGGAGGACATGCTGCTGCCCTTGGCCTGGTACGATACCTTTGGTGTATTATTATTATTATTATTATTATTATTATTATTATTATTAATAATTTTTATATTATTATTCAATTCCCAACATACAAGATACAGATATATGGTGCTTAACAATTTGCTGATAACACCAACTCAACTCGCCTCTACTCACTTTTGGTGCCCTGTCCTCCATTTTCCATTGCAGATATAGTACCCCCTCAATAGGGTTGGATGTGGTTAACATTTTTGCGGTGTAACTACTCTTACAAATTAAGAACGGAATTAAAATTACTTAATTTTTCTGAAATGTGAAATAGTATTTACAGCAAAAGAAAAAGCAATGTTTTGAACAAATCATAAACAATCATAGTCTCTAATGTTGTGATGATGCAGTGTTTCCCACAGATTGACAGCGTAACTGTGGGAGGGGTTGTGCCGAATTTTGTATGCCTGTCGAGAATTGCATGAAAATGCATTAAAGTTCTGTTTTTAACTATACTATTCTTTGTGGGGTTCATCAATAGTGATAAATGATCAGCATATATTTTATGAACATTAAGAATAGTTAACATATTCTTACACTTAGTAAAAGTAGGCTACCATTTCTTGAGATTCAGCAAAAACGTGGCATTAACCGCGTTCAAACAATGTGAACGTCAAAGTGTCCTAAAAGGACCTTAATAAGTGAATGCATAGTTCGGCAAAATGGATGTTTTAGGCTACCTGCCAAAATTTGCATCCACCTCTTTTCTCAGTATAACAGAGCGTTCCCTCTCGCGAAGTGTATGTAATTCAAGGCAGGCTTGCAGAATTCGGCACAACACCTGCGCTGCAAAACGTCAATAGACCTTGTGGGAGCAAGGCCTGATCATTGTTCTCGAACGCACCTGTTGACTACCAGTTATACAGCGTGATAACTTTGACAGCTGTTTTCCAAAGTTATATATATATATACATATAGGTATCCTTATTAGCTAGGCTCCTTACATGCTTGCTAATAACTGTTTTGAAGATGGGTCTCCGACATTGACAGCGTTGTGTTGGACAGATTTGTACAGCTGTGTTTATAATACCAACCATTCAATTCACAGACGGGTCTGTTGTCCGTGTTTGCGAGAGAGATAGCGACCAAGTGAGAGGTTGTGTGGAGCGAATTGCGCTTTGCAGTCTGCAATCAAATGTATTTTAATATGGGTAGAGCAGCATCTTAACAAAAAAGTTGCAAAATATTTAAATGGGTAATTGAATATATGAACCATATCTGAACAATCAGCTGGCTAATGGTTACTATTTTCACATAATTTAGTTAACTGTCGAACGCAGTCGAAAACTGTGCATTTCTCTTCCTGTATATGACGCACTTCCGCTAAATGTTAGGACAGATAGCTTGTGTTTCCGCAAGCAATTTCCCGAGCGTGTGTGCTGTGGGATGTGAGAGAATGAGAGCATACAGGTACCACAAGAGATTTCTCTTCTGCATTGGGAAAAGTGAAAATGCATCATGGACAATTTCTTAATCTTACTACGGTATCTTATATTTTAGCCCTGGGGCCAATTAATATCAGGTTTCAGTACCCATCCCTTCCTCTCAATGTAGCTGGTCGTCATAGCGACAGCACAAAACTGCAGTGACGTAATCTTCAACGTGACACACGCTGCTCCGCACACAGGACAAGGACACAGGTTTTGTGGGTTATTATAATAATAATAATAAAGTACAGAGTATTGTTACAGTTACTACCTCACAATCTCTGATTAAACTATTTAAAAATGAAGGATTTGTTCAGGACAACCTGATCTAGCGCACGCAATGATGATGCCGTAAAAAGTGACAGTAGTCTGCAGTATTTTCACGTCACCTTTTTACTATCGTTTGAGCTCACTCGAAACCTCAATGGAGGTGCAACAACTTACCAACCAGGTACCAGATTTGCCCAGTAGAAAACCAAAAAAAGCAAGTAGAGTTGAGGCGAGGTGAGCTGGTGCCATGCGGTGGAAAAGGGACTTAAGCTGTTGTTGGTGGGCTTACTCAGTGTCTCTGTCTGCACCAGGCGAATAGTGAATGACACATACAGGACAGATCTGTGTCTCCTCTACCCTCCCTTCATGATTGCCTTGGGTAAGATTTGTCTCCGTGTGTTTCTCATTGCAGCTGTTTAATAGTTACTTAACATAAGATTTATCAGATGTGACATGATCAGTTGTTCTTTTCGTCCCGCAGCCTGCCTGCATGTCGCCTGCGTGGTGCAGCAGAAGGATGCCAGGCAGTGGTTTGCGGAGCTCTCTGTTGACATGGACAAAGTAAGAACGGCCTCATTCCCAAACACCATTTTAAAAATGATTGGGTGTTGGAGAATCTGAGCTGATTGAGGTAAAAAAAAGCAGATGATAAATGTAAGAAGGCTATGTTTTAGAGAAAGAGTGGACATTCATCTCTGTTTGGAATTGGGTTTCCACATTTAGCTTTACTGGTCTTTGTTTATTTGGCATGCCTTTCTGCATTTCCTGGCTACAGTCTGGCCTACTGCTGCCTGTGTTTTGAGTTGGGTTGTTTGTCATAAGGGGTTATAAACGCACTTAATTGCGTACGCCCAAAAATCACTCACAAACAAATAAAGTACTTGATTCACTGGGGAGTTTGACATTTAACACACTGTTAATCAGACAGACACAGAATGCTCAGTTACTGTTTAACACATACACTTTTATTTATAAATATTTTAACATAAGAAAAGTTTCATTCTGGTTGTCTAAGAGCATGGTGTTCAAACACCAGACACTATCTGACTATGACAATAACAGTGAATTATTCTGAAGGTGACATTGATCACTTTATCTCTAGGAATGTCCTGTTTAAGCACTGACAGCCATATTAGTGTTTGTAGTCCATCTTGAGGCAGTGAGATTAATATGTAGGCTCATTGTGAACTATAGCATGGTCTTCTGTCATATTCATTTGATGCAAAGATAATATAGATAAAGATATTAGATGGATTAATTATAGATTGTCAAAGAATGGCTGACTTTGCCACTCTGAACTACAGTAGCTGTTTCTGTTGACAACATTGTATAAAATATACAGGCAGAGAACTCGTTTTACTTTTTTTTTGGGACCCATACTAAACTTCAGTTTCTTTGCATTTCTTCTGTCAAGATCCTGGAGATTATCCGCGTCATTCTGAAGCTGTACGACCAGTGGAAAAACTTTGATGACAGGAAGGAGATAGCTGCCGTGCTAAACAAGATGCCTAAGCCCAAACCTCCTCCTAACAGGTAGCACACACTTGGTTCTGTGTGTAAACCCTGTCGGCCTTTATAGTACATAGATGTTTTATGTTACAGATTCTGGTAAATTGTTTGAACCATACAGAAACAGTATAAAGGTGCATTTTCCCGTTGCTATAGGGGGGGGGGGAACTGAGATCATGTAGTCAGGAAATTACTTGTGTATTTTACCTGAATGTGATGGACCAGGAAAATGTACAAAGCCCAGACAGCAAAATGAATCACATGAGAGCACTTTGAAACTGGACACCTTGTGATGTATCTCAATGAACTGTGAGAAATAATTTTCCCAATCTGTCTCGGTGTTTTCTACAGTGAGAGTGACCAGAGCTCCAATGGGAACCAAAGCAACTCCTACAGCCAGTCTTAGCATGCGCAGCGTTTATATTTCCATGGATATCGATAATGTTGATGTAGAGAGGGGTGGATCTTTTTTTTTTTTTTTAAATGTCAAACCGCAAGACCTACGAGGTGTCAGCTGGCAAAAACACATTTCAGCCGACTGAGATACAGACACCCCCAACAAATTCTTGAGAGCCATTTCTTCACTTTTCCCCCCATCTCTGATCACTATGGGTTTATGGATTGAGCGAGCAGCCACTGAAATGCCTGCAGCAAAGAGCCGATCAGTTTTGTCGTCTCGTAGAGGCTTCTACTCTGCTCCAGACTTCGAATGAACAAAAACTGAGAAACATTTGGCAGGAGATCAGATGTGGTGGTTCAGTAGAAACCTGTTTAAATGTCATTGTGATGATCCTGACATCCTTGAATAGCCCAGAGGAGTGAGTCCTTTCATGTGGAGCTCCATGGGATTCGAGAAAACTTGATCACAAGGGGGGGGGTGGGTGTGTGTGTGTGTGTGTGTGTGCGCGCGCGCGCGCGTGTATGTGTGCGTGTGTGTGTACACAACGTGAGTGGCCAAGTGGTCTGGGTGGGTTTTCATTCCTCAGGGACGAGGGTAGTCTTCTCTGTAAAAGGATTTGATCCTGTGCTGTTAGAGTAGATCTGATTGGATATCACCCAGTGCAACTGTGATTGGATAACTCCTGCCCTGTGAGGTCTGTGCTGGTTGATCATGAACCTTGGCAGGAAAAATCCCAAGAGAGGCTCCTCTTTATGGTAGAAATTAACTCTTTGATTACAAGAATTTACTGTTTTGAATCATGACAACGCCACCTCCTCCCTCCCATTCCCACTTTCCTTATGTAAATAGTCTTATAATTCAATTCATTTATTTTGATCTTTCATTTTTTTTCTCAGTTAAGGAAACCTAAATGGAAATCATGAGCTAGTATCACTTCGTACTTGTACTTCAGATGAAAGTGCCCTTGTTTGTTTCACTGTCATGATTCTGTTTGCCTGCTGCAATGCTTATTAATTTTATTGTCATTATTTTCCATTTGTTCTGTTTTAGTTGCAGAATAATGTATTGTCCAAAGTTGTTTTTTGTAAAACTTTTATTAATTTGTCAAGGAAACGTTTTTGGAGTAAATACAAATTACAATCGTTCTAGATTTGTCTGCAAAGCTTTGGTTGTACATTCTAATTTTTAATCTGCCATCTATTTAATCACTGAATTGTGGCAATATGTGTTAATTGTCTCTATATTTTGTGGTATAATACAGTGGGAGTTGTATGTGGCTTGACTCAAAACAAGGTTCTTGAAAGCCTTACAAAATAAAAGCTGCTGGTTACGTGGGGAAAACCTTCATAAAAAGCCCATTGTTCCGTCAGGCAGACTGGAAAATGTATTTTAGGGGTGGATTTGGTGGCAATGCTTGACCGCATCTTCCTCATTGGCTTCCTGTACGCCTCATTTTTGTCACTATTGGAAAAAGGTACAAAAACATGGTGCTACACCAAACACAGGTGAGCTGGAGAAGCCACTGAGTCAAGTTCGATGCAGCCTCTTTCTGCTTTGCCTTCTGGCGTTTTCCTCCCTTTCAGCCGGCTCCATCTGTTACATGACTGTTCACATGAACGGCGTCAAAATAAAAGGGCTTCACCCCACTTTAATATTCCTACTAGTTCTGGTAAGAACATTTCCCAAAATTGTTTTATTACTTGAAACTGTTTATGTTGGAAGATCATTTATGGTCAAATAAAATGTATTGTGTGCAAAGCAAAGTGTTTCGCCGCTGTTATTCAATCTGTTGTCATGTTGGTGCAGTAGGCTATGTAATGTATTTGTGGGAATCTTCCAGCATGTTACAAAAGTCATGTTCAGTCCCTTTGTCTAACGTCAGTATTACTTCAAAATAATGGCTGGGGTAGGAGCCCTAGTGGCATACAAGTAATAAAGAAATAGTACTTGGCTATTTCGCTGAATAGAATCAGATGTTTTTAGTAGTTTCCTCTAGGAGTTGGTCCCATGGGGTACAATCACCGTGACGTCACATTACCCGCGTGAAGTCCGCAGAATGCGGCAGCATTTCTCCTTCAAAATAAAACCCTACACTTGGTTTAATTTTAATGGCAGAGTAAGAAATAAAGTAGCAAAACCAGCAGAATTATTCGCTTAAATAAGGAGTTGTGAACACAACTGGTAGGTCTTATTCATGGAAGACATGAAAAAAGTCTGTAAAGGTGACATTTTGTATGTATATATATATATATAATATATATTTTCCGGGAATATGCATCCCTCAGAGTTGCAGAGGCATGACAGGTTTTGTTTTTTAATACCTATTATAGCCTACTACTCTTGGCCTAAATCATATAGTCTTTATTACCTTTTATGAGCCTTGCATTTGATTCACTTGCCTGATTTGATACATTGTTATTTATAGTGGTCATAGTAGAAGCAGTGACTCTATAGGCCTAAAACTAGTATATTAGTTTGTAGGCCTACTAGTAGAATTATAGTCACCATCACCAGTTACCTCCTACTAAAGGGCCCTGTGCACCTCTTAACATCTGCATTATGTAAACTGTCACCTCTTAGTACCAATCATACTGTATTTATTGAGCAATTGTCTGCTATTTTAATGCTTCTTTTAACCTCATTAAGTGTTGTTTTGAACTGTTTTTGTCTTCAATGTTTTGTTTTATTGTACTACCTCCATCCATGTGAAGCACTTTGTAACCCTGGTTTTGAAAGGTAGCCTACCATAAATTTGACTTCACTGACAAATTACCACAACCCCGCTAAAGTAAATCTCCGACGGGGTCAATTTGCTCATTTCTAATACCAACTGTGTTAGGACATGTAGGATGTAGGAATTAAATAATAAATGATGTTTGAATAAACATTTTAATGTACATCTTTTGTTTTTACTCCGACATTCAAGTGTAGCCTACTCCTAGAATGTTGCGAAAGATAAACTTTTATTTTGAAAGACACAACCGGATGCTTTGTTGTTATTTGTCCTACTTGACCGCGCAAGGAGGGAGGCCACAGCCAGCGAGCTCCGTGCGGGCTGCGGAGGATGTCGACCCCGCTGCGGGGACACGCTCCGGGCGGGATGCTGGTGTCCAGTCGGCTGTCTCTCGTTCAGTCGGCCTGCGCCTGCAGCCCTCTGCACTCATGAAGCCCCCGCTGATGAAGCCCCGAGCTGCCAAAGTGAGGCGGAAAGTGGCCGGAGACAGAGAGCATGTACTGGCGCGTCGGGTTTGCCTGGACGCGGTCGTGTGTGGTTGATCTTGGCCAGAACCAGAGCTTCTCCTCCGGCCTGCTGGGCTCCGATGAGCAGCTCTCGTTTTATGGGTACATCATCGCCTGCCCACTGCAGGACTACGGCGGGATAATGTCCGCGCTGGGCTCGGACTCGTGGTGGCGGAAAACGCTGTATTTGACCGGAGGGGCTCTGCTCGCTGCCGCTGCTTATTTGCTGCACGAATTGCTGGCCATCAGGTACCGACCACACAGAGGCTGTAGGGGAGTCATCCCCTCCCACTGTCAGGCCTCTTGGGCCAGAGCAGAACACCACTGCTGATGTTATTCTGTCTCCCAGGTCTGCTGTATTTTCACTGGGGTGTTGATGTTGCTAGTCTTGTCAGGCTGGGCGGGGTGAGTGGAGAATCGTGAGTGGGTGGGTTGTGATGTAACCTCCATGAACTCCCTCCTCACAAACACACACATCAGGACGTTATTTCCACCTTTATTAGCTTATTGTTGTGGCACGAGCGTCCTACGGTGAGGCCCGTGGCTCAGTCTCGGGGCTCGGTCATTAAAGCTCATTTTCCAGTGTTTTTCTTTTTTTTCCGAGATGCTCGTCTGCCGGTCTGCAGGCCTGTTTGTAACAGCTCTCTTGCTATATGAATTGACGTTACAGACTATGACATCGGGTCACTTTCATGTGTCTTGTGTTTCAAGGACATGTTCATCTTGTGTTTGCTTTATTGTGGACCCCCCTCCTGCTCCACGCGCACGTTCCGGAGTTTGGTTTCAGTCTAAGCACTGCAGCGGGGGGCGGGGGGGGGTGCTGTGATGTAAACAGTCAAACGCCAAAGCCCCAAACATAGCCCACTAGGTAATTTACAAAGTGAGTGAGTTGTGACGGAAATGGGAATGTGAATATAGATCTGTTCGTTAATTGATTATTGAGGGTTTGACTGAGTGTGTTGTCCTTAAAGAATCTCGGGTTACCTGCAGTCCAGCCCCCCCCCCCCCCCCCCCCCGGTTGACGAAACACAGACCCACAGCAATAGGCCCCATAGAGTAGACATTCACCATAATATCGTAAGTTTAAGTGTCGTTTGGAACATTAAAAGGATGTTTAATTGATATAAAGCGATTTCAGCTCAACAGAGAACGAGGCTCTACATATATTATAGCCTACCTGTGTACTAATAGCCGCAGTTAATGCGGGGCCGATAATTTTTAGTCTACGTAAAAGGCAGACAGGCTGTTTGTTGTGCTGTAAATATTCATTTGCATGGAGTTCATCCCGACTGGCTGTCATGTTTTTCGTTCCCTCGAGCTGTTGTTTTTGTTTTTGTTAATTAGCCTATTGCACCTCCCTCTCTCTCTCTTCATTGTCCGCTACCATCGTGCCTTTGTTGCAAACAGGGATTAACTCATTATATAGGTTATTGCACCAAAACCGGCCTTTTTATAAGAGTACATTTCAGCACCACTCTGAAATAGACAGCTCCTCTCATCTGAGGCTTGTTTTTTTACGTTTCAGCACTTCGCACTTCGACAGCTCCCTTTACTTCTGCATTGTGCCCACGTGAATGTGTTGTGATTTGCCTGCCAGTGTCCCTGAAGTAGCCTCCAACTGTATCTATGCACCATAGTCTTTCACAGGGGTGTGCGTCATTATTTTGACATAGCAGTTTTCCCGTGGCTTGTCTAAATGGCACAGGGCTGACAGCCACTCACTGATAGTTAGAGGACATTGGCTGCAGATCATTTGATTTTATTTAATCAATTATATGATAGCCCCATCCACCCCACCACACACACAATTTAACTTATCTTAGCAGACTTAGCTTAGCTTTGAATAAAGACTGGAAACAGCTAGAGTAGCTCTGTCCAACGGTGCCAACTGCAGTCTTGTCATCACTTTTACCAAGAAACCTGCAGAGACTCCATGAAGTCACTACCCCCAGCCTGAGAAATAGTCTGACGTATAACCCTTGTAAAGCCACAATTCCTTAGTTTTTTTATACTTTGATTTTAGTTTAAACAAGTGAGATATAATGTGGTACCATTTTAAAAAGGGCCCCTTTACAAGACAGGGCTACAAAATAAATGAAAAATGTTGGACCTGCTTATGCTGATATTATAATTTAGTGGTGCATGTTACCTAACAAATGTTCAGTTAACCAAATTATAAACCAGTTCTCATGCAGTGCACCTGGGAGTTCTGGGGCCCCTCAGTGTTTGTGGCCTAGGCAGTTACCTAGTTTTGCTGGTTAGCCTAACTTTAACCATAACTAGAGCTGAAATGATTAGTCAATACATTGATTAGTCGTTTGACAGATAATTAATCTGCACCTATTTTGATATAGACAAAACAAGACATTTTAAAATGTCACTGTGGACTTTTTCACTATTTTGTGACATTGTTTCATTGTTTCAAACAATTATTTTGCCAAGATAAGTCCCCTAAATGTGACTGAAAATAATTATGTTTTCACAACATGATCATTACAGATAGCCTGTTTTTCCCAGCCTCTTCTACGTGACCCGCAGCTCTTTCATTCTCTTCTCCATACAGAAAGGAGGAAGAGCTGGACTCTAAAGATGCCATCATACTCCACCAGTTCTCCAGGCCCAAAACCGGTGTCCCGTCCCTGTCCCCTTTCTGCCTTAAGATGGAGACCTACCTCCGTATGGTTGACCTGCCCTACAAGGTAGAGCTGTGGTTATGTCTCTGTGATAGAAAAAAGGATGTGAGGATGTTTTAATCCCAATTTCTTTGTGACAAAATCCTTTGTTTGTTATTTTGTTGTAATTACTTTTCCTGTGATTAATTATTGTCCAACACAGAGTCTATGCTGCTACACTCACCCAGTTAATAATTACAATTTCATTTAAATATTTTGTCTTGATGCAGTTCCAATTTAATTTACTTAATAACAATCACCAACCACCTTCTCTATTGGCTTCCCTCCCTTTCTCATCTCCCTTTATAAATCCCCGCCCACCCCCATTTCCCAAATCCCCTTTCTTTTGCAGAACTACTTTGATGGGAAGCTTTCACCGCAGGGAAAGATGCCGTGGATCGAATACAACCAGGAGCAGGTGTGTGGCACCGAATTCATCATCGACTTCCTGGAGGAGAGGCTGGGCGCGAGCCTCAACAAGAGCCTGACGCCGCAGGAGAGGGCCATGTCTCGCGCCATCACCAAAATGGTGGAGGAGCATTTCTACTGGTAAGGGACCAGACAAGTTTGAACTGATTTTTTGCTGTTGTCTTAGAACAGTGCTAATACTTTTTTGTGTGCCAGATTGCTGAGAAGCAAAGACTGCCTGTTCAATTTTATTTGACATTTCCAATATTAAGACCCTTGAAACCACCTGTTGTCCTCCCAGCTGCTTGTGCGTTTTGTAAAATGAAGTGGAGATTATCAATTAAGACCTTTTAAATACCTAGTGGCCCCTGGACATTGCAACAATGCTCCTGAGAAAATGTGAATAACAAACTTTTCTTTTAAGAAAATTGTGAAATTGAATTTATTTGTGGCCTATTTTTCCACCAGGATGATATCACACTTGATATTTATTTTATTTCATTATAGAGCATTTAATAATTTGGCTGAGAAAATGTCAAACATCCTCATTCTCCTACTGTGTTTTGTTCCATCAAGTTACTTTTTCTCCTTCTTTCACGTCTTCTTAGAAGTAGTATTCATTGTAGTAACAATTCTAGGGCTTGCATTGATCTTGAAGTGTGTGTGTGTGTGTGTGTGTGTGTGTGTGTGTGTGTGTGTGTGTGTGTGTGTGTGTGTGTGTGTGTGTGTGTGTGTGTGTGTGCAGGACCATAGCTTACTGTCAGTGGGTGGACAACCTGGAGGAGACCCAGAAGATGCTGTCTGTGAGCGGACCGCTGAGCGACCTGCTCAAGTGGATCCTGAGTCACCTGACCGGCGGGATCGTCAAGAGGGAGATGTATGGGCATGGGATTGGGCGCTTCTCTAAGGAGGAAGTTTACGCCCTCATGGAGAAGGACATGCGGACCCTGGCCACTCTACTAGGTGAGGAGCTAAAAGGATGTTTTTGCTGAGAAGAATGTGAGCCTTCAGTAGAACCCAGTCTGTTTTTCTCTAGCATTTATGACTGTACTCTGTGTCTACAGGAATTTAAGGACGTTCGTTTTGTAATTGGGAAACAATTTGTGTCGCCTGTCTGGTTTGTCCTGGAGGCAGACAAACAGGTGTATTGGCAAAGTAAAATTATTGCAACGGCTTTTTAATGTGCGTCTTGAGAACTATAACCAGCTATATCCAGCTATATAAGTTTGAACTTGTTAAGGGACAGCAGCGGCTCCAACCAAATGGAAGGATAGCACATTACTAGCCTCCTGTGGTGAAGACCCAGCATTGCAGTGTAGGATTGGTACATAACCTCTGTCAGTTTCTGGCAGGATAGACAGAGCTGAGAGCATGCAAGCAAGGAAAGTGTTGTTTGGCCATTCTAAATAGCACTTGCTAATAAAGTTTCACAACCCTAAAGGTATCAGTTGATCTCTGATGCATGTTAGTTTGTGGCCGGAAGTGATTTTCTTTCCTTTCTGTACAAATATTATCTGTTTTTTTGTCAGAACTTAAAAATGAAATTGCTTTTTTATGTTAATATAGTGTCTGCCTACCTTTTGAGTTGACGGTAGGCCTCCAGAATTCATGCTATGCGAAGCAAGCCGACTTTTCTTTCTGTGTGCTGTCTAAGGTGATAAGAAGTATCTTATGGGCTCTAAGCTTTCGACAGTAGACGCTGCAGTGTTCAGTCACCTGGCCCCTGCTATGTGGACACTGCCAGGAACACGGCCGGAGCAGCTAATTAAAGGTGAGTTCACTGAAACAGAAATCTACAACATAATTCTGTATTATAAAGAAACATGCTGTGTTGTCTCTAATATCCCCGGTAGTATCTAGTCATGAGGACAGCTTAAGTTTTATTTACTGAGATTCTGAGATATCTACCGCCGAGGCTTCTGCTGCCAGTCCAATACAAATTTCATTCACAAGAAACAATAAGATTATAAAAAGTCAACAGCAGCATGTTTACTCAGAAACAATGTCCTGGTTATTCTGGATAATCTACAGACCTCACTGAGAATTATCTACCAAATGCTGATGGCAACATCTGTGGATGAGTGTAGTACTATTTTATTTTTTACTTTATAAAGTGTGAACCATGTATGGCAACATCATTAAATATCAAGTAAAATTGTAACTCAAAATGGTTTCATCTGACATAATAATTTATATATATGATGTGTTTAGTAAATTATATCTTCTTCTAAAACACAACTATCCTTTTTTGACTTCTGTCCGACACAAGCACAGAACTGATGTTCAAATATGATTCACTGATTTAAGTGTAATTAATTTAAAACTGAATTCACAGAAAATGGATGAGCAAGCTAAGCTGTTTGGTTTAGTGTATTTTTGCAATATCTCTCTATATCAAATAGTATCCATATTCAATTTTACATTTTACAAGAAAGAAGTCAAACCAAATATACCTAATTTTGTGTAGCAGAAATGTTTTTTCTTATTCTTGTCAGTCATCTTGTGACCCACAAGTAGTTCCTGACCCCCAGTTTGGAAACCACTGGACTGAAAAATTACGTTAGTTAGGGCTGCAATTAACTTATTTTCATTTATTTATTTAAGGACAGTGCACATTAATCAACATTTCTGTAAATGTGCCAGTGTTAGCCAGCAGGCTAATTTTCAACTGTAGTCCATGTATACATTATAATAACTAAACTTATTTATTGATAAAATGTCCAACAAACCCATCAGATGCGCAACACAGTTTCCCAGAGCCCAGGGTGATGTCTTCAAAATGCATGTTTTTACCAACCAGGAGTAAAAATGTAGCAAATTATCAGTTTACTCTCACACAAGACAAAGAAGCAAATCTGCACAGTTTAGAAGGTGGAGCCAAATAATGTGTGTGGTATTTTTGCTGGAAAAATTACTTTAAAGGTGATTAATTGATCCCTATTTTTCTGCAGAATGACAACTTGATTAACTGTGGAATCATTCTAGCTCTAATGTTGTTTTATTAATCAGAGGGATTGCGCAACATGTTCAGAGCACCTCACCCACTCGTCCTGTCCGTCCCCTCCAGGTGAGCTCATCAACCTGGCCATGTACTGCGACCGCATCCGCCGGCGATTCTGGCCCGAGTGGTTCGTGGACCTGGAGGACTTCTGCTACAACAACACCACAGAGTGCAGCGACTCAGCCTCTAAGCTCCCTGACCTGGGCCTTTACTCCCGCACGGGCTCTTTCCAGGACGACACGCACACTTCGCACACTCACACGCCACAGCACCCGCCGCCGTCGCCCGACAGCGACCCAACGGGCCACTCGCTGTATGACTCTGACATGGACACGGAGTGCTCTGAAATTGACCAGCTCAAGTGTTGACAAAACATACAGATATAGTGCACACCACGCATATACGCACACCACAGGAGGGAGCTGCGTCCCACTTGTACTCATGCCCCCTACCTCTTTGAACAGAAAATAACTGGGGAGTATTCCTGTGTCAGCGGAGAAGTTGAGGACCGAGAGGTTTGCAGTAGAGGGAAAAGGGAGTGAAACGTAGGCCAAAGGGAGAGAAAAAAGAATGTGAAAGCAGAAAAGCTGCAGTGAAGGGGAAGAGGAAAGAGAGGCAGAATAAAAGTGAGAACCAGAAGTAGAGAAACCAGGAGTAAATGACGCCGCCGCTGAGAAACTCCTCCACGTGGTCGACGTCACCTGCAGTCACAACCTGTCACCTGTCGTAACCGTGGCAACTACGTGTGTGTGTGACTCGTTATCCTCGTAGCAACTCACGCCACCCAGCCATGTGTGTGTTTGACTAACTGAACCCTTAACGCCTTGTATTGATATGACACGTGGGGAACTGTACAGGATTTCTGTGAATGAATACAATTCAGTGTAAATATTTATAAATGGATCTGATTCTGAAATTTAACAGATAGAATATTTGATTATATATGATTATAAATAGTATAGATAGCCCTCAAATATAGATCCACCCCCTCTGTCATGTGTAAATTCTGTAGGTGTTTCTCCTGTGAAATCCCTTTTGTGTTGGACTCAATGACCAAATCGTCTTGTAATAGTCTCTGTGAATAACCACTCTGCTGGTCCCCCCCCCCCACACACACACATTAGAAGCAACATACATTTTCAGGTGCCTGTGTTGTTTGGCTTTTCACTGAGGACAGTAGCTTTAGGTCAAATAGACATTTTACATGCATTCAAGCATTGAGAGCGAGTCAAACAATCATGTAGAAATAGATGAAATAGATATATTGTCTGAATGAAAGTGCATGGATGATACGTGCCAATGAAGATCTCCCTTTAGGCTTCACGTTGATAATGCTGTCTATGTTTCTTAGCTGGCTTATTCATTAAGTTTGATGTGTGTTTGTCTGTGCCTCTGGACAAATGAGCCACACAAACACCAATTGATCTTAATAAATTACTTCTTTTCCTTTTCGGCAGAATCACCCCTTGACTTAAAATGATGGATCGCTCAGAAAATGTAAAGCAATAACAGAACAGACAGAGGTCCACAGACTGCATGGTTTTGGGGTTTGCGATGATAAGGTGCAGGTTTTATGTGTGTTTGTCACTCAGCAAATGCACGTACTAACATATTGTGTGTTAAAACTAATAAGAATGCAAGCAAGGGGTATACAGCATGTATACTTCGGTCAGTGTTGCGCATGGATGAGTCACCCACTGTGGCGACGTTTTCACAGCTGAACCTTTCCTCCCTAACATACAAAGGAATCTTAACAGAGGCTTGTGAATCGGGTCAGACCGATAAATTGGCTGGACCAATATATTGGCCAATGTTAGCTTAAAGGTCTGGTCACACCAGAAAGTGTCACAATGAAATGATTCGGCGTGTCTCTGCTAAATATTTGGCTCTAGAAGCTTGATGACATTGTGGCAGGGCTAGCTGATGAACTGCTCTACCTGCTGAGCTAAACACTATCTGGCTAGCTAGCCGGGCTAGCTCTAGTCAGTCACAATAGGTCCCAGAGATTCTCTCTAAAATACTGTAACAGAGGCGCTTAACTGAAAGTGAAAGGTGCAAAACAGCTAATGAAGGGTACAGTACTATTCTGAGGTAACAAAACAAGGGGTTAGAGGTCAAATTCTATAGAAGGGTTCAGTCCCTACATAACCACCAATCACTGCTCTCCCCATAGAAGGTCACTGACCCTCTGTCCTGCTGCTACAGTGCTATTTTGAACTGTTAGTCAAATGCACAAATATTGGATACCACAATAGCTTCCTCGATTTTAGATTCTTTGGCTCTCTGTCAACAGCACAAATGTGCGGGTTAAAGTTCAAAGTTGAACTATTTGCTAACTATTTATTTATTATATAATTTATTTATATAAATGTTGGAATTAACTGAAATTGAAGTTTGGCAACTTTAAGTGCTAGTGTTACCAGGCCTTAATGCAGATATGCATTATTTATATTTACATAATATGTCAGTAGTATCGAGAGATTGAAGTACAGAAATGCCAAAACTTTGTTCGAGGTAATTTAGAAGCAGTGTATCCATGACATTGTTTGTCCACCAGAGAGTGCTGACAAGTTTGTTTCAACAGCAAAGTTTCCTGGTTAATACACATACACTAATACACTTTTCTTTCAATTCTTTGATAACCAAATTAAGAGATACTTATCAGAATTTTTTATTTATGGTTTTTGAAAAATGTACATTGGCCAGTTTGTTGATTATTTAAACTTAAATATCATCAAATTATGTAGCATTACTATGTAGCAGTATATTGTGAAATAAGAAGTAACAAAAAGAAGCCATAAATAGAATTGAACACTCAGCAAAGGGTTAGTTATAATATAAGGTTATAAAGGTGTCATTATCTCTTTGGTCCCATTTGTTAAAGTAAGATCATGATGTCGATGACGGTTCTGGCAAATAATATAATGATGATTTAATGACAACATTTTCCTCTGCGTGGCTCCTTCGCTCTAAGGCGTTCTGGGTTCTCTGCTCTACAGTATAACACCCAAAACATCAATACTTCTGAGACAGTAAAGCCTTTATGTGTGCGTGCTGCAGATGAATTTCAATACAATAATATTACGTGAAACTGGAGAATCCTGTGTCTTAAAACCCCTTGCCTGCATGCTCTTGCCTTCCTTCATCATTAGTCAGATTTAGCATTATGGAAACTGACTCCTAAAGCTGTTTACTTTATATCAGTGCCAGCATATGACCTATGTTTTAATCATATTGATTAAACATTTACTTACTTATTTTATGATGTTTGTATGTGTTAATGTTGATGGTGGATGTGCTTGATTTTAAGAAACAATGATATTGTTTATTATGTTGCACTTTTCTTCTTATGTTTACGCGTGTTTTCTGCTATGGCTGAGAGTTCTTATCAATCAAGTGTATTGATCTGTGCATTAGTGCAATACTGTAGATTCTCTGACTTCTGTTGACACGTAACACTGGACCAGCTGCATATTTTCATAATTGCATGTATGTGTATGTTTTTGAAATGTCAATGTTAAAATTCATATCATAATGTCAATGTGTTCAAATAGTACAGTCCCTCATCTTCTGCACATTTAACTGTCATAACATTTTTACACAGCAGAGATTCATGTCCAGTTGAAACCATAAAAAAAACACAAAATACTGAGGTAAATACCAAACTGACCTCTAGAGCTCAGATCAGCACAACGAGGTCAGTCATCCTGCTGATCAGCTGATGATCAGTGTCTCTAATCCCTCCTGTAAACTCACTCATTACAGGAAAAATTGCAAAAGTCCTTCCAGACCAGTCTCTGTGGTCGACTTCATCTGTCTCAGAGTTCCTCAGCAGGTAAAGGTCAGAGGTCTGGGGGTTAAGACCGTCGTGTGTGTGTGTCGCTCTCCCATCGAGATTTCTGCTTGTAGACTGTAGAAGCCATATTGCATTGTCTTGTGCTGTTTGTGTGTACTGAAACACTTTTGGAATCTCAGCAAACTGTAAATATGAGAGCTGGGGGGGCAAAAAATGCAAAGTAATATGCGAACATGATATAAAAGAAACAAATGCTCTGTAACATTTAAAAAAAAAGATTCTTATGAATGTATCATACCTAGAGATAAAAAGCTGTATGACAATGGATTACACTTAATATTTCATTAAATATAGCTGTGGTATTTTCCTCTTGTTTTGTTTCAGTTTTTGTGTATATTGTTGAGTGTTGAAATGTGCTTCAAATGTCACATCTACTGAAGAAAAACAGGTGAGTCTTTTTGTAAAAACTGCTCTGTTTCAACACTTAGAGGTGGGTATACTCTGGCATATATCTGTCTCGTAATCCCTCTCCCTCTGTGCTTGCTACCATATGACAATACTAAGCCTACCCAACAATAGTGAAGAATTAGCTCTCTGCCCTTTTCTTTGTGTTGGTGCTGGAGCTCCAGAGAAACAGGGAGAGAAAAGGAGGGCAGAGAGAGAGAGAAAAAAAAAGCAAGTCGTGGGAGCAGCACTGTAGAGACAGAGCAAGGGTTTGGGTGAGAAAAGGGGCATGAAAAGGGAAAGAGACAAACAGTCAGGAGCAGATGAATGATATTTGATGACTTTGGCTGGTTGCATTTCTGTGGCCATTGTACAGAATCCCTGGGAGATCCCTTCCACACAAGACAGAGGAGACAATTCAGAACTGACAATGACACCAGAGTATAAACCATCTCTGGTGAGTCAGAGATGGCGTATAGCGTGTATGTGTGTGTGTGTGTGTGTGTGGGCTGGCTGGCTGGCTGGCTGGCTGGCTGGCTGGCTCTCTAACATGTGGCTGTGTGGATGATGTGTGAGGTGGGATGTTGTGTGCAGGGAGGGGTGAATGTGCCTTTATGTGTGTGTGTGTTTAAAAAATATGAATAATGCAGAGGATGCCTGTACGAGTGTGAGGGCCGGGAGGAGGGCAGATGGTCGCCTGCTGATAGGACAGAATCCAGGCAACAGGGTCCTCCAGAGAGCTGGGTTTAGACCTGGCTTAACACACAGCGCGCACACACACACACACACACACACACAGATGCATACACCCACAAAAATGGATGCTTTCTTTCTTTTTTGTCTTTCTCAAAATCTTTTTTGCTTTAAAATTGCACATACTGGTTCAGATTGCAAAATTACAAGATGAGCCTGAAATAACACAGCAGTAAAAAAGGCCTGTTTGAGAGGAAATGTAAAGCCTGTCATTGACAGATTTCTGTTGTTAAGGAATGGATTTCTGTTGTTAAGGAATGGATTGGAAATAAATGAAAAACATAAACATGGATTTTTTAAATGAACTCTTTCATTGTTAGATGTCATTACCAGTTATTCTTAAGTTATTAATTATTACTAATATTATTTTGTACAGATGTAAAGCCCCCTGAGCCAAATGTCTTTTTTGTGATGTTGGACTACATAAAAAGAAATTGACTTATGTCTTATGTCATAAGTCATAAACGGGGCTGTAGCATTTTAGAAATCAGTTGATGTGTATTTACATTGAGCATCTATTTCAAAGAAATAACTGCTTGTAAATTCAACACAACTAACTTAATTCTAAATAAATAACCCTTTCTTTAAACTTTATCTATAAATTGTCCCTTTGTACCAGATTGCATTATTCTTTCCAGGAACCGTCCTTATCATTAGGAAATTACAAACCGGTAAAATAATGTACCAAAGCACAAGTTCTAAATGCTTTAAAGTTTCAAATTCCTGCACACACTGCTAATAATTACATTCTGGTAGAGCAATGAATAAACTGGAATCAGGCAAACAATGTTATTACCTGTAAAATTGATGTTGAATGTTGTTGAAACACCAGACAAAATGGACATAAACCCGGACTCAGTATCCTAACCACTTAGCTAAAGAGCACTGTCTCATAAAAAATCAACTGATTGCACTTGCATTCAGTGTCTATGAAGCAATGCCCTCCATTCAACCCAGCCTGCGTTTATCTTACTAATAGCCACTAGGTGGCGTCAGCGGACTGTTTCTGATTTGGACAACGACCAGCCCAAGTATCCAACAGGAAATATTAGGCATCAGGTGAAAAAACCCCACAAGGAAGGAGATGTGCTGAAGAATCAGAAAACCCACTTCTGTGTGAAATTAGACTTAGAAAAGTCTAATGCAACAAAATACTCAAAAATGTCTTAAAAACAAGAGCGAATTTAATATTCATCTTTTTTACACTGCGGTCACAGGATTCTGTGCTCTCACTCAGCTAACTGGTGATTATTTCAGTTTTCACTCAATATTTAAATGGTATCTACACCGTTATTTAGCATTTGAACAATTAGTCAAATAATTTCCTAGGACATGGAAATTATAGGTAGTACATGTTTATAATTCTTGTGTTATGGATATGCTGATGAAAGCAGCAGGCCAGATTCATACACCAGTAAGTGTAGTTTATAATGCACCCCCTCCACCCTGCAGTTAGGCCTATAGTATGTTATTGTTTTTAAATTCCTTTTACAGACAGGCCCACAGAAACGCTTTCATTGTTTAGATATTTTAAATTGCATCTCATCATAACTGTCAATTAGTTTTCATATTTATCCTGATGAAAATATTAATTACCGCTTTGGTGTATTTCAATTTCACTTGCCATTGACCGGCTGCCTGAGCATCCTCGCGGACATCTCTCCTCACAACAATATCAGAGCAGATCAGCGGCAGTAAACACTTTACCGAAACAGCTGAAGGGCAATTTGAAGCAACCGAGACGGATTGATAAAATCCACAATTATAATGCAAGGCCGCGTGCATGGAGCGGGGTGGGGGTGGGGTGGGACAACAGAAGAAGCTTGTTGCCAGAGTTGCTACTTTTCTTCAAGCTCAATAAACGTGCAGAGACCGCAGTGTTATAGAAAACAAATACGATTTAATGACAAAAAGCAATATAGAAATTGTGCAATCGTTGATTTGTTTTTCCTCTTCGTTTGATCACAGATTTCAGGTCAATGCTTTTTTGTTTTGGTTTTGTTGATTTTTCAACCCCCCCCTCCGTCAAAAACTCCAATTCAGCTGAAGGATTACTAATGTTGGAGTCAGAATTACATACATATTGGGCCTTGTTTAAATTAAGGGCGAATTATCATGCAGTATACCCTTAAAGAAGGAAAATACCCCAAACATTACTTAATATTGCTATGCTCAATTTTTACTGATTGGTGATGAAGTATTTTATAGGCCCTATAAGTACTACTTTGACACTTACAACTAGGACCAATACATTCCAAAAGCTTTTTTAAAATGCAAAACCTCTTGCCTAAAATTCACATTATGGGCCTAGTCTAATATTTTCTCTCAACTCATCTACATCCTTCAGTTGGATTTGAGTTTCTGAATTTCTATATTTTCTTTACCTTTCAGTCAGAGAATGAATCTTCAACTAGTCGTGGATTCCCCTCAATAACCTTCCACCATCAGATCGGGTTATCAATCACAGGATTTAAGTGGCACAAGAGCACGTGTCTGTGTTTGTGCTTTGGCACAGACCGACGGAGAAAAAACTGAACAAACAAACAAACATACATACATACAAACGAAGCCATACAAAAACGAATTGAGATACATCCCACAAATAGTCTTCTCGGTGAATGAATGAGTCACACAGTAGTAGAGCCACTGCGGCCAGAGCTGGTACCAGGACATGTTCAGTTTTTTGTTGTTGTTTTTTTTTTCTTCTTAGGAAAGGAAGGCAAAATGGGCTGGATTGCTTTGAGTTCCAGCCGGACAGTCTCGGTCTTTCTCATCACAGCATTTTGGAAAAGTACAGAAATAACAAACAGCATAAACACACTGTAAACAGGCGCACAGAGATGTCTGCACAGAAAGAAAAGCATTAAAGTGAACCAATACTCAGTCTGTCTAGAAACATTATTATTATTATTATTATTGTTATTATTATTATTATTATTATTAAGCTGTATTTAGTTGATTAAAGCAAGGGAGGAACATTTAATTTTAAACAAATGATGGATGCAGCTGACTCTACAATAAATACATCATATTCAATTTAAATGATTCATCATAATTGTATAATAATAATAATAATAATAATAATAATAATAATAATAAAAGCAGTTGGCTGGTATTGGCTTGATTTTTTAATATTGTACAGCAGGTGTCTGCCATTTCAGCCCTCTCTTGCCACAAGCTGCGAAGCACCCCTGTTGCTTTTGTTATGATGGAAAGATGGCGTTTATTTACCCACACTGACTGCGACTTCTCATGGAACCCGGAGCTTGCTTTTATATTTTCCCCCCCTGCGGACACCTCGTGTCCACATCACACTCTGCCTTTCTTTAATGACACGTTACATAATGACACATTGGCGCCTCGGTAGAAGGTATAGAAAAGCATTTTGTCGCTGATTATTTTTTTTTATTTATTTTTTTTTTGGTTAGCACACACCAGCCGTATCCCAATATGCTTGGCAGTTCCGCGGCATGAAACCTCCCCATTCGGCTCTCTACTATGCGTATTTTTAGTGCTTGGTTGCCACTGTATATCCCCATTGTGCGTGTCCGTGGGTCCAACATTTAAACTGGCCGAGGTCCAGTTCCGATCGGTCCAGCACAGAGATTAAAACAAATAAGGAGGCATTACATCTCCTGAAGGGGTCCGTGTTTTGCTCAGAATAACTGACTGGGGTCACTGCACAGGAGTCTGTCCTCCGTGATGAGGAGGGGTGTCCCCGTACATGTCCTCACCTCCAGGTATCTGTCCCCCAACGGGTGTCATCCTCTTCTCCTTCTGCCGCCTGTTACAAAACCAAACCCTCACCACCTCCTTCTCCAGCTGCAGGCTGTCCGCTAGGGAGTTGATCTCCGCTGCTCCTGGTTTTGGACATTTGAGAAAATGGCTCTCCAGAGCCCCTTTGACGCCCACCTCGATGGAGGTCCTCTTTTTCCTTTTCCGTCCCTGTGCCGCGATTTTATCCAGGCTAGTGGGACTCCCCGAGGTGGAGTCCGCCTCCTCCAGCCACTTGTTCAACAAGGGCTTGAGTTTACACATGTTTTTGAAGCTGAGTTGGAGCGCCTCGAACCTGCAAATGGTGGTCTGAGAAAAGACGTTTCCATACAGCGTCCCAAGAGCCAGTCCCACATCCGCCTGGGTGAAGCCCAGCTTGATACGTCGCTGTTTGAACTGCTTGGCAAACTGCTCCAACTCGTCGGAGGTCGGTGTGTCCTCGTCTGACTGGTCCTGATGGCCCCCGTGCTGGTGATGGTGTGACAGAGACTGCTGGTGGGCCCCAGGGCCGCCTCCGTGATCACTGAGATGCGGGCTGTGGCTGTGGTGGTCCTCATCCCGCAGGGGGTGGTGGTGCATCCCCCCTTGCTCTCCCCCCGGCATCAGACCGAAGCCGGACTGGGAATACACTAGGCTCTGGCCCTCAGATGTCGCCATACCGGGGATGTGCGTGGTGGCTGTGCTGGTTCGCCATGCTCTGGCGTCGTGATGCACCTGCTGGTGCGCGAGGTGAGGGTGTCGCTGTTGCTGCTGTTGCTGCAGACTGCTGGAGTTCTGCAGCTCCTCTCGGTCACTGTCGTGCAGCACGGGCTTCACGTCCTGTTCTCCGAGGGGACTCGGTGGCCAGGGCGTCCCGCCGTCACCGTGAGACAGCGCCGTTATCCACTGGTGCGCGTGGCTGAGCGGATGTCCACCGCCCGGTAACGTGCTATAATCGTTCTGGAGCAGGGTGTGCGCGTCCCTGTACGCTGCCGCCTGCTGCATGCTCCCGGACTCCGAGTGCGGCGGTGGCGCGCTGCTGGGGGTGGTGAGGACGCTGTAGTGGTTGGACGTTGCGGTCGCCATAACTATCGGAGCCAGAGTGATAGCTGGAGTTAAAAGGAGGCAGCCTTTGACAGTAACTCTTTTGCGCCACGGGGCAGCTAGGCGTCTCTCTCCAGCATCTCCCGGGCGCTGTGCCAAGGGGACGCAGAGGCGCGCACCTGTGGTCCGCCTCGCTCCGCTCTTTATTGGCCAAGAACGGTTGACAGATGTGGTTACCCCTGACAGCACCCCGCTCATTGGTCACGGGAGATTGTACAGAAACCCCAATCACGCTGCCCAACAATACTAGCAGTCCTGCAGCATGCTAGAGTACAAAGTCGAGGGAGAAATCGGGCTGCCGAGAGTAAACACAGAATAGACTGAGCAAGCTCGGCTATAAGAAAAAGAAAGAGTTTTCTTTATGTTGGCACTGCTTTATTAACATTGATCTGGGTCAGTGGGTCATATTTAGTAGTTCAGTGCGTCAAAACGGTGCGTAAAAGTTGCATAAGATACACAGAATCTGCACATTAATTGGTGTAGTTGACCACATTTATCCGATCAAGAATAAAACTTTTACTATCAAAATAGCCCAAATCCAAATTAGTCCGATCCTCATGCATTTGAAGTAGAATCTTTGGGGTCTTTTTCGCCATGAAACAGTGAACAGTGATCGTGGGGATAAACCTCCAGCTGCCTCTCTGCCCTCAGGACGCTGTCCAGAGAGGGGCCGCGTGCTTCCAGGGCCTCTGCCCCGTTGCCATGGCGAACGCGGTGAATGGAACAACGCCCACGTCACAGCTGCAGTTCGCTCCTTTTCGTTCCAAAGGGCCCACTGGGGCCGCGAGCTCGGCCGTCGGGACAAATAATGGGGGGGCGAGCGGAGAGGGCAGCGCGGGGCCAAAGAGAGGAGGCTGCAAGAATGAGTCCCTCAGCCTGCTCTGCGCACACCGTGCCCCCTTCCACCTGCTTGTTGGGTAAACTTTGAGATGGATGCACCCCACAGAGGCACGCGAGGCTTAGTTCCCCAAACCTCCTACAAAAAATGGGCTTTGAATTTCAATGTTTTGATGAGGGAAATATAGCTCTACCCTCCAGTGCACACAAATAGTGATACCTAGAAAAGGTTCCCATTTTCCATGACAAGCACTTCACAGATCTGCCTCATACAGCAGTGGAAAGTAATTAGGTAAATTTACACAAGGCACACCAAAGTACAGTTTTAGATTAGAGTACTTGAGTATTTTTTTACTTTACACTTTATACTCATACTCCACTATTTTCTACAGCCAACTCTTGTACCTTTTTACTCCACTACATTTATTTTACAGCCATACTCACAAGTTGCTGTCCAGATTAAGCTGTTACATACAGAACAAATGATGAACTAGCCTCTATAAAGTAATTCACTGTGATCAGCTGCAATATTAAAATGCTGCTGCTAAATAATAATGCAGCAAAATATGCAAATTTTACACTCTGAAAGAGTTCATTCTGCATAATGATTATTTTATTTTCAATAGCCTACTTTAAGTACATTTTGCTGATAATACCTTAAAGTACGATTTTGAATACAGGAGTTTAACATATAATGGAGTATTACACTGCGGTATTATTACGTTTACTTAAGTAAAGGATCTGATTGCTTGCAACAGAGGACCATAAAGGTGTTGACTCTCATCTGATAATACAGTTTTGTCTCTTGGCACTGTTGGTAAGACAATACCAGTGGAGTCAGTTAGTGAAAAATTCATCAAAGCACTAGTTTTGCACTATCTGCTGGTCCTATCTTTAAATGAATGCGATGATATTGAAATTAAACTAATCCTCATTCTGCTGAGCCCCCCTGAAACCCTTTTAGACCCTTGGGGGGTCCCTGGACCTACTTAGGCAACTACTGGTATTTAGGAGATGTGATTTTATTGGCTCAAAGTGGGACACCGGCGTTAAAACATAACAGCTATGAAGAGGTTAAAGGAACCTTGAAGGACAAAAAATATGCATGTTTCACCTTCAAACAGAGGCGCCGTGCAACATCATGGGCACCAATGAAAACATGTGAACATCTCTTAAGGTCACAGCTATACCAAATGCACTCAAAGACCAATACGTTTGCCTTACACTGTTAGTAAGACCACAGTACAATAAAATTACACATAGGAAGTGATAGGTTAATTGATAAATTCTTTGAATCTAATCAACCTGAGGATGCGCAGATATAAACTGACGCACATTGAATTATAGGGATCGAAAGAACACTGGCTTATGATTAGGGTGTAATTCTGAGAATTACCAAATGTGTCGCCAGGGGCTCTGGCAAGTCGTGTGTTGAGAGAGGCAAAACATATTACCCTAATAGACTAATATGCAAACTACTGGCTGCCCAATTACAGGACTTAATAACGCATAAACTATGCGAGTCCTGTTCTTACAAGACGAAGAGGTCGCTGTTAATTCAGTCAAAGGGCTGGGTATGCTGTCGACACATGCTGCAGTTCCACACACATAGCGTCTGTGTTTCCGTGTCGCTCGTTCTGTGTTCAAGCGTGGGAGTTAATGATGGAGAATCTGAGCGTTAAATTAACAGTAATTATATGGCCCCAGTGCTGTAAAGATTCAATTTCTTCCCAAGTCTAATGGGCTAAGTGTCCCAATGCGCAGGCAAAACTCTCTATGAGATATTTATGATTGAAACGCACACAGGCGGAACAAAAGCAAACACACACAGACGCACATTGCATACACCTACACCACCAAGAATAAAGGCATATGTGGCTTTTTACATGTCGCTTGGAGAGTCACCTTTTTCTGGTATACAAACTAAAACCGTATTCGAGACCACTCTTCACATCCAGATGTGAAAAGCCACTTTTTGGGTCCGGTGTAAATAGTGCCATCCGCTCTCCCACATGAGTTTAAGAAAGAGTGGTTCAAGTGCGAGGTGAAGCCATTTACATGAGTGAAGCCATTTACATGAGTGAATGTTTGCAAGTGAACCAGTATTCTGGTTGCTTTCACTTTCTCCAGGCCAGTGTGTGACCGGCTCATGTCCCTCCCCCTGTGGGAACTCTAGCGCAGGGGTAACTGGGGCAGGGGGGCTTCTTTATGCTGCCGGACACAGGGAGATAATGGCCATTCCTCCACAGCTGGCCCACACAATCAAAGGGAGAGGGGGCTCGAAGGATTCCAGCTTTAACCAGGCCATTGTCTGGGCTAATTACATCTGAATGAAAGACCCCAAGAACTCACCTCCCCCCTGAGCAAAACCTGCACAGAATACCCCAAACAACCCTTCGGGGACGAGGGAGAGCACACAGACACAAGGCACACACAGAAATATATAAACCCTGGACTCCTTCATTACCCCTAAATGTAAGCACACGCACGCACACACACACGCATGCACACACACACACACACACACACACCCTGGTTCATTACAGTGCTGTGTCTCTCTCACAAACACACTTGCATGTGGCACTTAACATTAGATCAGATCTCAGCTTGCTGCTCTCAGAAGAGATGAGGAGGCCTTAGAGGACTTAGGTTGAATAGAAAACACAGTGAAGAGCCTTTCCCCAATGCACCCCCATAATCCCAATCTATACACTCTCTCTGCCCCCCAACCGCAAGTGCTCGGCTCCATCTGTAGACTGAACTGTGTAGCCCCAGCTCGGCACAGTGCAGTTTACGTCAAGAAAACTACAGGGTGTCCTGTTTTGGTGCTCCGTCTTTTGGTTTTGCAGTCAGAAAATACATCCATCCTGTTTCCCCACGTTCACTGATACATTGATTTTTTTCCAGTACGATGAGCACTGCTGTGTTTTTGTTGCAGTGCATGTCTGAGAGAGAAAGAGAGTTGTGTAAGACAATCCTAAATTACTAGAATTAATACTAGAAAATGTTGTGAAAAAAAAAATTGTATTGAAAATTGTGTGAAACACACTTGCTTGCGCTGGAAATTGCAGGTGCAAACACTGTGAACTATTTAAAATGTCTCAAAATGTTGTACGGGAGATGCAGTTTAAGTTGAAGCATTTAAAGCAGCTGAAGTGTCAAATGAAGCTGAAGCAGTGAAAGGGTTTGAGGTCTCTTCTGATGTATAAGAGCTGAAAGCAGTTGAATTCTTTAACTTTAATTTAACAGTGAACACATTTGAACTCTCATTGAAAGAAAAAGAGTTGCAATCAATTGAAATGTCAGTTGAAGTTGAAGCGTTAGAGATAACTTGAATGCACTGTAAATAGTTGAAGTGTCAGTTGGAGTATTGTAGTGGTCAGTTGAAAAGTAAAACTTATTTGAACTGTCAGTTTATATGTAGAGGCTGAAAGCGATTGACATTTTAATGTCAAGTAGAAGCAAATGAAAGACTGAGCAGTGAAAGCAGTCAAAGTGTCACTAAGTTCAAGAACTGGAGGAGAGCTGGAGAGTGATGACGTCACCCATTCTAGGTTTAAACATTCAAATATATTTTTTTGTATTGCACTTTTCATGCTGTACACTACACACCAGTGCAGAAACTACCCACATAGCCATCATGTTTTCTCCCTTCTCGAGGTTTGCATGGCTATGTGGACTTCTACACCCATATTTTCCCTGGACACGTTTCACATTGTGGGTCTAAGTGTGTGTGTGTGTGTGTGTGTGTGTGTGGCAGTTTCAGGGTTAGAGGTCTCACTGGTGCTCAGTTTAGCATTGATTTATTCTCTTTCTCCAATTTATTTCCCCTTCGCCTGATCTGCCTCTGGGAGGACAAATGGAGGAGAAATGCCAAGCACAGTAACCATCCCTCACACACACACACACACACATACACAAACACACAGTGACAAATGTTTCCACAAGCAGAAATGCACACAAATTTGTATTTCCGCATTGAGCTGGTAAGCAAACACGCACGCGCACACACACACACACTCAAGTATTTTTAAAGCCCATTTCTCTATTTCCAGTGTTATTCTGCTGGTCCAATCAGAGTGGTGACTATTCTGTAGAATTATAAATTCACAACACTCCCCAAGTCCCAAGGCACCAGGGCTCCTATAAGACTTCCCATGTTGTCCCATATAACTGTCTTCAGAGAACCCATAAAGACATAAAGGGACGCTCCTACCTCTAGGTGAGTGGTCATAATTCACTAGCAGGTATTTTTACCGTGACATTGCTGTCGAGGTGCACAGATTCATCTCGTCTCCTGCTTTATAATGTCCAACACAAACTCCAGATAGGAGAAGCATGAGTGTAGTCATATTTTACAGGCAGCTTGCTGTCACATCCTACTGTAATGGTTTGGTGTTGGAAGAGGAGTGTGTGTGCTCATGGCTACAAACTTAACACCTTGCATCGCTTCTACTTTGGGTGTAGTAACAAACCTCTCCCTTTCCCTTCTAAAGAAGAAAAAGAGGGCGGGGCAGGTAGGTCGTTAAACCCACTTGAAAGCTCAGCACCCTGATCGATAGTCTTGGGCCAAGCAGGGATTAATATCAGGCTAAGTCTGTTCCAATCAATACTGATGGCTAACCCTGGGGTTAAAACAGGAGTAAATCTCCATACACGTCCATACACAAGTCTGCACTAAGTACAGATAAATCTACAGCTATCCATGCAAATGGACACACAATGGGTTACCGTGCGAGTGTAGTCGATATGAATGAGTGCTGTATAGGCCTTCAGTAGCGGCATATCTATGTGGAGATCCACTCTGTCTAGTTTAGAGATGGGGCAGTAAATTTGGACTCGTCGAAGGGGATGAGCAGAGTGAGTAAAGCTCTCATAAATGTGTTTGAGGAGGCGCAGCATGTGAAAGAGTGAGAAACAAACAGTAACGTGTCTGCGTTTGTACACGCAGCACAGCAATAATGGGAGGGGAGAGTGACTTATAGACAGAGAGCTGACATGCATGATTGAGTGTTTCACACCCGAACGGAGGGCGGACATCCCTGCTCAGATTGATCTTACAAGCACAGGTTGGCGTATCAATTACCAATACGGATCAATATAGCTATGGACAGACAACAGCAAGGAATAACTGTTGCATGTCTATATTCTGATCAGCTAATTCTACCGATGCAGAGATTTATGTCTCTTTCTTAAATGGTAATCTGATTCCTCTAATCGTCAGGGACAATCGTCAGCCGGGACTTAAGTAAAATTGATAATGTCGATATTTTGGGCAATGCGCCCATTCGCTTTCTTGCCAAGAGTTCGATGAGAAGATCAATACCTCTCTTATGTCTGCATGTTGAATATGAAGCTACAGCCAGCAGTCAGTTAGCTTTGCTTAACAGAAAAAAACTGGTGGAATCAGCTCGGAACTTGCACATGAACTCCACTGTGCTGTGCGAGATAACAAGTCTTATGTAGTGATGACGTCAACGTGCTTGGGCTCAGAACGTTACGCGCAATGTGAGCGCAGGTCAGCCAAGAAGTGGGGAGGTGGGACAACTGTGCTCAGACACGGTACAAGGCAAGTAGGCCTAGTGCGAGTACGCCCTTAGAGGTGTTGGTAGGTAGATTTTGTTACTTTTATCAGAGCCAGGCTAGCCGTTTCCCCCTGTTTCCAGACTTTGTGCTAAGCTAAGCTAAGCTAAGCTAACTGTGTAGACATGAGGGCGGTATTGATCTTCTCATCTAACTCTCAGTAAGACAGCTAACATTGTGTGCCCTGAAATATTATAGACATGTCTTACAAAAATACATTTAAAAGAGTATTGGTTGTTTAAATACATTTTCTGTCCGAACTCTTTACATGCTAACACCTGAACATGAAAATAACAATAAAAACCTGACACTCCTGTTCCAAACCCTTGAAATCAGTTCTCCAAAAACATAAGCACATTTTCTGATTTTCACTCAGATGGCAATTCTAAATCACACTTTTCTCCCCAGTCCACTACGCAAAATTCACCACATTTGGCACAATCTTCATCACTAAAGTCTGTTGTGTTCATGTGGACGGCATTGTCCTTCAAAATGCTCAGGCGAAACGATCAATTGGCCACACTGATGACTCACAGGTGCAAACACTAGTTACTAAATTGGTCAATTAAAAATCAGAGCATGGGCAGTAAGGTGAGCTTTCCTGTCTTTGAAGATGAATGCATGGCAACTATGCAGAGATATATGGAAGGGGATGTTTTCATGGTGAGAGGAGGAAGAGGATGGTCAAAAAAGTGAGGAAGAGGGAGTTGCATCTGGGATGAGGTCTGGGTCACTTCAGTCGATCATGTTGTCACTGTTTTTGAGAGTTAAGCTGGGCACTTACTGTCACTCCCATTATTTGTACTGTTAAGTACACAGTTTTCCTGATAATCGTACTATATTTCACAAGTGAGCCATATTGTTGGGATTTGGGTATTTCCATTTCTGTCAATAGAAATGTATGAGAATTCCTCATGTTGTTTGTTTTTATGTTACGCTTGTTGTATACTGACATTTATACATCAAGATTAAGTTAAAGAAACTGAAATATCAAAGTTGATCTTGAGCTGAATAAATACATGATGGACTTTATTTCTTTTCCTTTCAGGTTTGTTTCGTTCATGACTGCAGTTCGTTAAATCATCTCGCAGTGCAGCAGATATCATTTTATATTTTCAGATTCAAAATACAATATATGAATGTCTTTTCAAAAACAAAACACATTCCACAAATATTAATAGTAAAAGCAAAAGAGTAAAAGCAACATTTTCTAACTGCACAAGATTCTTACACTGACACTTTTTGGTGTGTTTGCGTCTCCGTCTCTTCACCAGAGATCCCAGCTGTCCCCCCATCACACTGCGTCCTGGGGGGCAGGGCGGAGGGAGGCCTATTCAATGGACCTCTTACTTTTGTGTCTCCCAAACACACAGACCCCCTCCCCTGCAAAATGCTGCACCCACGGCAGGCCCGGATGCAAAAGAAAGCAAGACATGCTCTTCTGAATGTAGAAGGAAACTAAAATGGGGACAAAAGAGTGAAAAGTGAAACACACCAACAAAAAGCCCATGCTCTTTTCCACATGCCATTATTCTTAGTAAAAATAACTTGAGCAGGTCACCCCATTCATAATCAATCCCAGGAAGATCCCAAGAAGTATTTATATGCTTCATGTACTGAAATTAATTTCCAATTACTGTCTTTAGGTCAAGATGAAGGATGTGAGGCTTGACCTTAACCACAATTACATTTAAAGATCCTGTCCTGAAACTGAGCCAAGATGTCCAGGGATCGAACCAAGATGGATGGGGGGGGGGGGCTCGAGGAGCAATACTGGTTGTTCTCAGTGTGGTAATCAAACTAATCTCTGTCTTCTTCTCTTATTTGTTTTCTATCTTCCACACGCATGCACAAATGGAGTATCTCTCTTTCTTATCAAGATTAATAAAACGTTTTGTTCTCCTGTGTTGCCTTCTCCAAATGTGTCTTTACTTTGCAGTGATTATTTTCAGGGAATCAACAGTTTCAAGGTATTGCCCCCCAGTATTTCCTGTCTCTAGTTACCATGGGATACAGATTTGCTCAAGTTCATTACAGTGTCTCTCAGCATGGGGAATTTGTGTGACTCCTAATGAACATACACACAAACAAATTCACCTTCAAGTCAAGTTGAAGCAGTGCAGCCAGCCTATATGAGGCTGCCAAAAGGAAATGTTTCTATTGGGTGTATTTTGTGTATTCACGGCTGCACTTCTATGTGTTATTAGCCCATGTGTTTGGAAAATTACACATGTACAACGATATAACCCCTACTCTCATTATATGAGTGGCACATGCACAAAAAGTCAAGGAATGAAAGCAAACATTGCTTTTGTGAAGGAACACTGCTTTACAGGCTTTTTCCCCATGCATATCAAATGTGTTTCGGCAATTGGAAAGCATAATTCGGGGTGGAGGAAAAACAGAGGAGCTACTCTTGGAGGCAACCTAGCCAATTAATTTGCTGCTCAGATCTCAAAGCCTCGCTGGAGAGGTGCTAGGCTACATACCACTAAGCTAATTTGTGCAGCAGGTCTGTATTAAATATATGCATGAGGCTAATTCAGTTAGTGTCGTAGCCCTGTAGCTGTGGTGAGTGCGGCGCTAGCTCCCATTAGCGATGTTTCTGCCTCCAGTGGAATCAACAGAAGTCGAGGCAGACGCCGCTTTTTTTGCATATAGCAAACAAAATTAAATTTACTTCGCTAAATCAAAGTGTAGTGCCAAATGTGGGTATCTCTCTCTGTCTGTCTCCCCCCTGCTGCCTGTCTCTCCCTCTATGTATGTCTGTCTCCTCTCTCTGAGGGATAAATTACTCCAGAATCATAAAAGAGTACAAAAAATTACAGAGAGAGCGGAAAAGAGAGGTTTTAGTCAAGTGGGATTCCCCCTCCCAAACAATCCCAGCATGCTCCTGCTCGCTGAGATGTTGGCTTGAGTGTCTCCAGCGTGTTGTGTGAGTGTTTCTCTGATTTTGTCTGTCTGTTGGCGCATGTTTCCCTGCATGTATTTACAGTAGCCATGTGTTTCTACCAGCCTGATCTCACAGGAGGGGAAAAAAATCACACTTATTTGTACAAAAAATAAATCATGTTTTGTTTCTGATTGGTAGGCAACAAAAACAGAAGCAGGCCCTGTGGGCTCAACCAGGGTGTTTTTAACTTTTACTTAAATAAAACCACGACCAAAACCTTATCCAGGCATAAACTAAATGACATTAACCAAAATATTTTTATCTAATTTTAACCTTTAACCTTGAATTTGGCTTGAGGTGAAGGTGTTAAAATCAGAGGTGATGGATGCTTGAGTGTCATGTAATCATGCAGTTACATGTGAGGTCATTTATTTTGAGTTATTTTCTTATTGTCAAATTCAGATGCCAGGGATAATGCTTGTAAAAAAGAAAAGAGAGTGTGTGTATATGTTGCATTGGTGTGTGTGTGTGTGGGGGGGGGGGGGAGAAAGAGAGCGAGAGCTCCTTGCAGTATACAGCTGAGCTAGTCTGTAAAAAAAAGGGCCGCTTGGCTGTTCCTATTGAACTTGACCTGCGGGCCAGATCAATGTATTGTGTGTGAGAGACAACCCGTGTGTGAGCCTGTGTGTGTGTGTGTGTAGGTGCGTGTCCACGGTCGTGAGTGCACGCTGCCAGATCAATGTGTCTCCGTGTGCCACGGAATGAGAGAGCACACTGATTACCCAGGGGTGGTGGGAGGGAGAGGAGGAGGAGAGGGAGGGGGAGGGGGAGGGATGAGAGGATGGCGGAGGAGGAGGATGAGACAGAGGGTAAAGAAGGGGGGGGGGGCGCGTTGAGATTGAGCGGAGGACAGAGCTGAGACCAGGATCAGGAGAGGAGCTCAGCTCATTTCATTTTCATTTTCCCTTCATTTCAGAGCCGCGTGCCGGGGCATTCCACATGGATGGGGTGCCAAAATGTAGATCCGCAGCCAGATGGCATAGATCAGTCGGGAAATAGGAACACAATCACAATGGAATGGGATGGTTGGGGGGTCAGTGATCCACGATCCTTTCTTTCCTTCTTCCTTTTCCCTCACGTCTGTAAAGCACCTGAACATTCATAAACCCAGAACTCACACGACCAGAGAGCCGTGCTTCTAGTTTACAAGGTAGACGTAAAACCTCGCCAGCCTCAAGGCCACTGAAAGTATTTCTTTATGTGTGTATCAAGACGTTTGTTGTCTGTGTCCGCGCCCGTGTGTCTTGTTTTTTTATTTGTGTTTTCAACGTTAAGAGGACTGTGGGCCAATCCTCAGCACTGCGGGGGCTCCTCTCATCTCTCTCGCTCAGTGTAGTCCCAACACTGGCAGTTCTGTTTGCAAACCCCTGCCCGTGTCCAATCAGCATGTAGCCAGTGTAAAGTGCATATCTCTGTGTGTAAGAGAGAGAGAGAGAGAAGGGGTTTTGAGTGGAAGTGGGAGGTGTTCTGCCTTCTTTTTTGAAGGGCTATGTTTCATCTGTGATGTATTTTGTATGTGTAGCCCATGAGAATTGTACCCCACATCCCAAATGTATAAGAATGTAACAGTGTATACTTGTGTGTGTGTGTGTGTGTGTGTGTGTGTGTGTGTGTGTGTGTGTGTGTGCGCGTGTGTGAGAATACGAAGGAGCTCAGGGGACAATAAAAAAAAATTGTTCAATTCTTGAAGTTGTGGGAGAAAATGCCAATTTTATGTTTAATTAAAGGTGCAGCTTTAAAAAGAACAGAGAACGTTCGAGTACAACATTGCACAGGGTGAGACCGTTACTTTCCTGAGCATCTGCAGCCTTACTTGTGCCATCATTTTTCAACTAAATTAAACTTTGACTTCTAAATACGCTGTCCTTCATGTGAAACATATTGTGGTGCCAATTTTACAGTAAAGAAGGATGGAGAAGAGATTGTCAAGCTCTGAAGGAAAATATCAAGGGATGAGGATGTCAGGTTATAAAATTAGAATGTGGTACATACCAGCTGCTTTGAAGGATGGATAAAGCTTAATGTAATGCTTAACTTCATCTTCAACTCTCTCTTACCTCACACAAACTACTGCATTTAATGCAACACCTTTTTACAATCTACTTCCTCTCCTTTCTTGAATCAGTGGTCTGAGGGAGTCATATGTTGTATCCATCCTGAAGATCTTTTTGTCAAATTTGTTATTTGGACTACATAAATAAGAAAAGGAAAAATAAGAAAGAACATTGGACATCCTAAGAACCCAGGTATTCTTGGTCACTCATATGACGTACATCTCCAATACTGAATGTATGGACTCAGCCTGGTAACATTTTCAAATTAAACTATGGAAAACTAATAAAAAAATCAAGATTCAGACTTTGTGTGTCTTTATATGTATGTGTATACATATTGTGTGTGTGATGTTTATATTTTAACCCGCAAAGTGTACAGAGCCTCATTGGGTGATTTTGCACTATAAAAACTGATGAAGATGAAGTTGACAAAATCATGTCTATTTCTTGCTCTCAAATGCAGTCAGAGACTTTCATAAATGACAATAAAGGTAACAGTACTACAGTAAGTCCAATGATGACTATGATTATGAACATGTCAATGTCCGAGCAAAAGGGAGAACATCTTTTGTGCCGCCTCCTTGAAATGACATCAATCCTGTTACTTGCTAAAAAAATAAAGACAAAACATGACTGCTACAGTGAAATAAATATGTTGGAACACTGACAGCACTATGCAATGGTCTTAGCTGGTAAAGCCCCACAAGAAGCTATAATACATTTTAGAAGAATTGTAAAAATCCACTGTTTCTGCAGAGGATGAAAAAACACATTCATCTCTGCAGCTTGTTGCTGATTGAAGGAGCTTTATTGAAGCTATGATGGCTGGTCCATGTTGCATGTAGTCTTCCACGTCTGTGCATACAAGTGTGTGTATGGGATCTCAGGACATTCCAAACACGCATACACTACACACACATACACACACACACACACACACACACACACACACACACACACACACACACACACTTGCACAAACACCCTCCTCCCTCTAACCCCTGTCTGTGCCGGTCTACCTCAGGAGGAAATTGAATTGGAGAGTTGACCCTACCTGACACAAGGCGTGCTCCATTGATTTTTATTGGAACATGAGCCATCAATACTGAAATTGCTTTTGATTCTGTTTGTTTCCCCAGTGATCAGTACAATGTGGATTTGTTTGTCATAATTTGTGTCGCAGCAAACTTCTTTGGAAATCCCACACCTCATAAATACCTCAATGATATTCTGGAGCTTTCTAGCATATCAAATGTTCTTCATCAGTTCAATCTCATGAAAACTGCAAAGTTAACACTAACTTTAATCTTTAAGTGTGCAGGAGTCACAAATTGTCTGATATTACTATTTTTAAGTTCAATAATGTAGGAATTTGGCATAAACAGCATTACTAATTTTGTAACCTACAACAGTGCCAAGTAAATGTGGTCTCCAATACCCTAAATTGAATATTAGCAAGAGTATATTAGACGAACATTTACTCAGCAAACACAGTGACTTCTGGTGGCTTGTAAAGCTTACAGCAGCCCTGGGCTGAAGCACCACGACGCCTTGCTGAGATAGTCATATGTGTGCAATAAAACTCCAAGAAACCAGCTTGTTATTATTAAATCTGTATACTTTTGTTCGATACAAGCTTCAGCACATGCTTTGATATCACCTGCTTATCTCTATTAGCAAGCTAAGGTTAGCTAGCTAGTCAGCAACAGGCGTACAAATTAGACTAGTCACCTCACCAACTAACTCACTGCTAGCCTAAATGTTACAGCGGCAAATTCACAAACCCAAAACACCTGTGGTTCCCAACCCCACTGGCTTAATACTCTCATGACAAAAACACACACCACACTGCTACATAAAAGTCACACAGCTCAGGTACCTACAATCACACACACACTGT